TCGCATGATGGCCATTTGTAAGGCTAAGCCCCATTGGAAAGAGTAAAGCAATTCAAAGATAGGCAGAAGCTCAGAAAAGCTTCATTCTGGCCTTTTCTTTCTTTTTAAAATATTTTATTTATTTATTTATTTATTTATTTATTTATTTATTTGAGAGAGAGAGAGCACAAGCAGGGGGAAGGGCAGAGGAAGAGGGAGAAGCAGGTTCCCCGCTGAGCGGGGGGCCCAATTCAGGACTCGATCCCAGACCCTGGGATCATGACCTGAGCCAAAGGCAGACACTTAAGTGACTGAGCCACCCAGGCGCCCCTATTCTGATCTTCTCCAGCTGAAAACTTCCATCTCAACTAAAAGGTTATGCCGAAGATTTTAAAATGGGCTTTATAAGCCCTGTGTATTTCTCACATTTAAATGGGGTTGAAGATTTCCATGGGATAGCCAAGAAAGCAGGTATCTCAATACACCAAGTACTATAAACCTTAGAAATAATTGAGTGCCTGTCTGGACCTCTTTCCTTGTTGTCCTGCCCAGAGCCATCCTCACCGTGGGTCACTCTCCCGCTGGAGGTCAAGACACAGCATATTTACTAAGGCCCCAACAGCAAATATAGGAAATATTTGTTCTCTCTCTAACACCAAGATGAACCGTGAAAACTGTGAGAATCGTATACGTAAAATGGACTTAAATTTGGTTTCTATATTAGAGCAAATATAAATTCTATTCATATACCATTTTATGCCATGGTCTTTATAGCTTTATTGAGGAATCATCGATATAAAATAAAAAGTGTACAATTTGATGAATTTTAACATTTGCCTGCACTCATGAAACCACCACCACAACCCAAATAATGAACATTTCCGTCATCTCCCAAAACACCCCCGTGCCCCTTTGTGAACTTCCCTCCCCACGCCACCCGCCAAGGCCCCAACACAGCATCATCTACTTTCTGGCACTATAGATTCCTACGTATTTTCCAGAATTTGTAACATAAATCAAATCATAAAGTAGTAGCCCTTTTAGTCCGAGCCCAGAGTAATTACTTTGAGATTCATCCGTATAGTTACACGCGCCAGAGTTTACGCCTCTCATTGGTATTCCATTCCAGGGAGACATCACAATCTGTTTACTCAACCACAACTATCACAACTGAAGTTGGTATGAATTATCTGCAACCGATCTGTGGGCATTCGGTTCCATTTCACTCTGATGTGGAAGTTAGGAAACAAAACGAACGAACAGAGGGAAGGAAGAGACAAACCAAGAAACAGGCTCTTCCGTCTAGAGAACGCACTGCTGGTCACCAGAGGGGAGATGGGTGGGGGGGATGGGGGGACAGTCCCCAGGTGATGGGGATGAAGGAGGGCTCTTGTGATGACCACCTGGTGACACATGGGTGACACATGGGTGACACACGGTGACAACACAGAAGTGTTGACTCACTGTACCGTACGCCTGGAACTAAGATAACACTGTGTCAGCTTTGCTAGAATTACAGTGAGGCCTTTTCAACTGTTTGTTTTGGTTTTGTGTTTATGTTTGGATAAAGACCATTTCAGAGCGGCCTGTGAGCATGGAGAATCTTAGAAACATAACCACTGACATTACAAATGGCTCAAGTGGCAAACTCTGCTCTCAGTCAAAGATACCAACTTCTATAAAGATCCAAAAGTTTCAAAACAGATTTTTTTTTCAAGTTGCAGGACAAGGGATGAGATTGCTTGAAGGTAAACAAATCAGAGGAAAGTATTCAGTGAGCTTAAACTCCGCATCCTTAGCCTCCCCCAAACCTTATCAACAAATAATGCTTTTCCAGTGGATGGAAACATTTGCATAAAAAGCCCTCAGAACTCAGTGAGGACCACACTGATTCACTTTCCCTCCCTGCCTACTTCCCTCCCTCTCCCGTCATCCCTACCGCTCTCCTTCCCTTCTTTCACATCAAAATTATACTAAAAAGACCTATTTTACTTTGAATTTTTCATTATCAGTGAAAATTTAATAAGGTTTGGAGCATTTGGAGTGGTTGGTTTTTGTATGTCAATTAATTAATTTTATTTATTTATTTGAGGGAAAGAGAGGTGGGGAAGGGGCAGTGGGAGAGGGAGAGAGGATAGAATCTTAAGCAGCTTCTGCGCTGAGCTCAGAGCCTGACATGGGGCTCCAATCCCAGACTCTGAGATCACTACCTGAGCTGAAAGCAAGAGCCAGATGCTGAGCTGACTGAGCCCCCCAGGTACCCCAGTGAATCTAATCTAATGATAGCTTATATTATAAAATATCTATTTATCTTATGTATTTTCATTAATTTATACTTTTACTTAATACTTTATATTTATGATTTTCTAGATTGTAAAGCTGTTTTAATCTATTAAATATTTAGTTTCTGTGATCTTTGCTTTTTTAATAAAGAATATAATAGAGGCATTGTCACTTTTGTGCCAATATTGCCAATCTCAAAATCTGCACATTTGGGCTTACAGGTTGTATGCATTTCAGCTTTCGTAAACTTTGCCAAATTGTTCCCCAAGACATTAGTATCTAATTACATCCCCCTTAATTGTACATAGAACCTTCGATAGCTTTACATCACGGCCAGTATCTTCCATGAGTAAACTCTCATGTCTTTGCCAATCTGGTATGAAATGATATCTAATTGTGGTTTAATTTGTATTTCCCTGATTGATAGTGAAGGAAGACATCTCTTCATGTGTTTCTTGGACATTTCATCACCCTTTTTTAAAAGGTACACTAACGTTCTTCTCATACGGAGTGTTACAGTGATTTCTCCCCATCTGTGGACTTTCTCACTCTGTTAATAATACATTTTGATAATTGGAAGTTTTAATTTTAACATAGTGAGTTTATTAATCTTTTCTTAGGGCTCGTACTTTTGGTGATGTAAGAGCTCCTTCCTTAATTCAAGGTCATGAAGTTGTTCGCTTACACTTCCTTCTCCTGAGCTCACTGTTTTGTGGGATCCAATTTTATTTATTTCCACATTAAGACATTACCATCACCATTTAACAAATAAATAGTCCATCCCTCCTCACTGATCCGCTGTGTCAGCTCTGTCATATACCAAATTTTCAGTCATGTATGGGTCTGTTTCTGGGCTCTCTGTGTTATCCCATTAATATCTTTTCTGCCCTGGAACTCGTTCTCACTGTCTTAATTACAGCTTTATAAGATTTGAGACCCATTGATACAGAAACACCGCCTGCCATCTGCCACACACACAGACACACACACAGACAGACAAACAGACACACACACCATCCTTATTTTTCTTATTCGAAATTGACCAGATTTGGGGTGCCTGGCTGGCTCAGTTGGAAGAGCATGCAACTCTTGATCCCAGGGTTATGAGTTTGAGTCCTACGTTGGGCGTAGAGATTACTTACAAATAATCTCTTAAAGAAAACTTGAAACTTAAAAAAAAAATCGAGCATATTTTTGTGCAAGGGAGGGACATGACTCGACTCACGTTTTTGGGGGCACACAGCTTAAAGGCATTTATTAAACATTAGACAAAATAAGAATCAATGACAAAATACATTATGCTATAATCAAAAGCATATTGATTACAAGTAGATTACAAATATTTATGCTGTTTATCTGTATGGGAAAATCTTTTGAACAAGTGGGAAAAGTTAATAAAGCTCTATAAGTCAAAAAACAACTGATTCGTGTGTTTGGATAAGGGCCGCCCTGGCTGTTGGATAAAGAATAATAATTAATGACGTCAGAGAGAGAGAGGAAGAAATTGCCAGAACTAAGTCCTTGAGCAGATGACAATGGGCAGCCTTCAGTGGAAGAGGGATTAGCTCCAGAGAGTGGCATGCAACGTTTGTGCGTGGTTGTGAAGGCTGAGGATGTGAGCGCCCAGGACAAGAGCTGTGGCAGCTCAGAGTCTGGGAATTCTCTGCTGATTGCTTGAATCTCAGCCAAATGCAATGTGTGGACCTCACTTGGATCTCTATTGGAATGATATCACTGTGGAAAGAAATTTTTGAGACCCCTTCCATGTGGATAAGGACTCATGTGAAATGTTTTGTTGCTTGCAATGTGACTTGGGGACACCCACTGGCTTATTTTGGCCTCAGGAACCCCCACAAAAAGGATGGGGATTTGAAGTCAATTGTCAAAGCCTCCAGGCAACCAGTGATCAAATCTTCTGTACCTTAAAGCTCTAAGTTGTTTCTAAATTCCCAATTCAGACAAATGATTCTTTGGCATAGGTGCAAGCCCTGGGGAGGGGGCTGTGTGGGGAGTCATGGGCGGATCATTAGGTAATCTGAGCCTCATGTCAGTATCTTTGTTTTTTTTTACACTTTAATATTTCTGGGGAATCAGAACATGTTAAACAGTTGACAGAGACATTTAATGCATGCATGTTCCTCCTGGGAAGCTATTGTTAAATTGATCCCTTACAACTAATGGCATCTTGGAATTGGAGAAATACGGTAATGTATGTATGCTATGTTGTGCTTTGGAACTTGCTAGATTGGGTCTATTATTTAGATTCTGGTTAGATTACTTAACCAGAAGTGCCAATGAAGAACAAGAACATAATACATCATTTCCTTGGGCAAAATTCACAACATTTTCTGTTTTAAGTAACACTAACTGTCTCCATCAAGTTCAAGGACATGTCGTTTAGTAAACAATACAGGAACGGCTCAATGGTGTTTTTTATGTTGTACCAACTTAGAGCTGAGTGAAAAAAACTAGAGAGAATATAAAGACCATGGAAATAGTAGATTCTCTCTCCTGACCCTCTTTGCTACAAGCCCAGACTTCCATCAACAGAATAAAGGTCCCCGTTTCTAAGTCTTTGTCTCTTTCAAATTCCCACAGGTGAGAATGCCTGAAAATGATCAGTTGCTTTGGGGGACCCAGGATTGCCAAAGGCATTGCACGGAAAATAGACTTGTAGGTAAAGGTGATCTGGTTTTGCATATGAGAACATGACAAGTCACACAGTTATCTTTCCACAGGTTTAAAAATTTTGTCTACACATATCGAATCTTCAAAGACAGACGTGGGTTTTACAATATACAGGTAAGAACGTTACAAGAACTCTTCTAACCGCAGCTATGAAAGGTTGGGGGAGAACCTGAGATCATCTCTTGAACCTGAGACGTGGCCATGGAGAGGCATTGTAAAAAGGGAAGCAACATAGAGTTTAGAGTCAGATCTGTAGTAAACTTTGTCTTTCTCTGAGGGAAATGGGGAGAATTTTTCACTATTCAAGACTGTTATTCAGATGTGTAGACCCTGGCTTCCCCAGGGGTCAAATGCACCAACCCGGACTAAAGGAGAGGCCACTCCAGTGAGAGGATGACAGAGTGAGCAGGGCAGGCTGGAACGGGAAGGTGGGGAGGAGTCTGAGTGTGTAGAAGACCAGTGAGCTCCACGGTCCTATGAAAATACAAAGGGAAGCATCAGTCCATGGGCAGCCTTAGGGGTTTCTTTAATTTTTCTGGTTTATTGAGAATTAAGCAGAAAACACTTTCTGTTTTGAAATGATTTCTCTGGCTTAGGAAGTAGAGTATAATAAAATTAACTGAGTCTTTACTAACAGTGGATCCCGAAATAATATTTTTGAAACACTTGGAGATGAGGTTAAGCAGATTTTTCACTGCCAGATTTCTCTGAATCTTCAATATGCTAACATTCGTTGTCAATATCGAAAAGAAATTAGAATATACCATGATCCCCAAACACAAGCACGCACACACACACACATATAAGTATATCTACGTGTTGGTGTGCGTGTAATTTTTCTTTTCTTACAAAAGACATTATCGAGGCAATTGACAAAATTTTGAATAAGGTCTGAAGATTAGCACGTAGAACTACATCAAGATTAATTTCCTCATTTTAACATATGGAATGTTCTTGCTCTTTGGGAAATATTGACATATTCAGGGTTAAAGAGTTATCATGTCCACACTTAATCTCAAAATATTTTTTAAAAAGAATATGTGTATGTACCCCTATATTTGTACATGTATGCACATGTACATTTTAAAAAAAAGAAAATGAAAAGCAAATATGTATAATATAAATGTTAACATTTGGAGTGTGAGGGGCGCCTGGGTGGCTCAGTTGGTTAAGTGTCTGCCTTCGGCTCAGGTCATGATCTCAGAGTCCTGGGATCGAGCTCCTGAATTGGGCTCCCTGCTCAGCAGGGAGCCTGCTTCTCCCTCTCCCCCTGCCTGCCCCTTTCCCTGCTTGTGCTCTCTCTGTCAAAAAAAAAAAAAAAATCAATAAAATAAAAAGAATTTTTTAAAAATTGGGGGTGTGGGTGAAGGATATGTATAAAAATTTTTAAAGTATTTTTTCAACTTCAAGTCTGAAACTATTTCAACATGAAATGTTTTCTAAAAAGCAATGTATAAACTCTTTCTTTTGTCATGCATGCTTTGGGAAATTGTGATAATTCCTTAATACACCATTTTGTCTCTTGTCTGGACAAAATGGAGAGGCATAGGAATCAGCTATCACTCGGACACGGGGCATTTCTCAGAGGGGTAGCAGTGCACTTAGAACCTGTCCTGAGGGTTGACGCGATAACCTTATATGGAACCTCCCTGCAGCCGACTTCAGTGTCACCGGCGTGTCTGATGGAGGTTAACCAAACCACATGTCCGAGAACCTTCTGGCTTCCACCCCTCTCTACAGACTGACATGGAGCTGTATGAGAACCCCAGTGATCATTGAGAAAACCAGGCACACATCTGACATCCGCTGCCAGAGGGCGGCCGTCTGCAGGATAGCTCTAAGAACTGTCCCAGACACACTTACCAAGGATGGGGGCTCACTCAGTACTGCAGACCTGGGTGGGTTCCCTTGATGAATCCTCTTTACCTGCAGTAGCTCGAGTCAGGACCGGGCTTCAAAACAAAGGTTTCTGTGTATTTGTATCGGTGTGAACTCTTAAGCAGGAACTGCCCGCTGCTGGTTTTCAGTCTGCAAGCCCAGAGGCAGCCCTGCTCTGAGGGCTCAGACCGCTGCTGGGAGAAGTGTCACGTTGCACACACAGTGGATGGTGACAAGCGATCTCCTTCTTGTATCTTGGCAGACTGTGGAAGGTGCTCCCCAAATGCTCTTTTCAAACCTAAAGGAATTGATCTCCACCTTTGAGAAACCAAATCAAGGGCTGGTGGTTCAACTTGGACATCCGGTAAAGCAAGCCAGCTCCCGCCCGCGATGGAGAAGATCACAGATACAGTTGGATAGTACTTACGGTAAAAACTCTGACAAGGGGGTTGAATAGTATTTACGGTGAAAACTCTGACATGGGGGTCAGTTCCACTTCTTCCACTGGCCGACTTTGTAGAATTTATGCAGATACACACCATGTTCTGTTGTTTTCTCTCTAAAAGCTTCACCCACCAAAAAGCAATGTCGATCTTGTTGGGGAGCAGTGTCTTTGAGCCCGGAAAGTGGCCAATGCAAGCGGCGTTCTGCTTGGCTAGTCAGGAGAGCAAGAGTGGCCCGGGGCCTTCTGGGAGAGCTGACCTCAAGCCCATCCTGTGACCCTGTGCGACCCACAGGCTTGGGATGGACAAGCAGGCCAATTTTTCAAACGAGAAAATTGCTTCGCTGCCCTCCCCAAGGCTCATACGGTTATGTTTTGCTCAATATTTGCTGAGCATTCATTTATTTAGTATTAGGGGACAAATTGTTTCAAATATATCCCTAATGGAATTAAGCCATGGAGGAAAATGAGAGATGGCCAGTAAATCGGAGAGCGGAGAATCCACGCGGAGGCCCCTCAAACTGCATCACTAGCAGCCACAATTGCTTACCTGCCCCCCTTGATACCTGCCCTCAGAAAATCATCTCTAGTATCTGTAGTTACAACGTGGTTTGAATCGAACACGGGTTTCCTAAGACATTTACGGTTTACTCGGGTTTTCCCATGGTGGCCTGAATGGTCTGATTCCAAAGCAGAGGGATTTCAGTTATCCCTGGGGGTGGGGGGACACACTAGCTAGGGAGAAGGGCAGAGGGCAGAGTTCCAGGAAGCCTGCAATCACCCCACACTCTACTCCGTCTGCTTAAGTCACCCGCGGACCGTCAGCAAGCTTCTCACCTCCCAGCAAAACTGAGCGTGGGTTTTTAATGATGGAAATAACAACCCCTCCTTTGCCGCTCTTTCTCAGCCCCCTGCCCCCCCCTCCAAGAACTGCACCCCCACATACACACAAGGTCACTTCCCATAGATTTAGCTACAGGTGCAATCCCATGGCCATGTTCCACCAAAACTTACAGGAACAAAAGCACAGCCCTTAGGAAAACCCAGATGAGCTGCTGGTGGGGGCAGTGCTCGTACCTGTCCAGCAATGACAAATGACTCACGAATGCCAAGAGGAGAGTCCTTTCAAGTTCTTTCCTAAGAACTGGGTGGGAGTCTTACCACCCTGGCTGCCCATGCTTGATTAGCCCTGATAGGTAAAGGGGAGATATCCTCTCCTCAGCTCGCTGGCTTCCTTCCCTTCCCTTGGTGTCCTTAGAATAAGCTTCAGCTGTTCTCACTCAGAGGGAGACACAGGTTTCCCGCAGGTGAGTGGAGGCATCTGGAGCGGGAAACCTGGATGCCTAAACTTACCGAGAGACCCCCTGTTTTGCCAGGAGAGCTCCCTGCGATACATCCGCCCCTGAAGATGTCACTTTGATGTGGCATCGAGGTCATCCTGTGCTGGGGAGAGAGGGCTTCTTTCCCTTGAGTGAGGTTGGTCCGTGTGACTCCTAGGTGGTGAGCCTCATGGCTGGTCTTCTGCTTTTCCCCCCAGAGAACAGTAACAGCGACTATGTGGAGGTCTTGCCTTGAAGACAAGGAGACTGAGCAAAGCAATCAGAGAAGAGATGAGGTGACAGCTCTCATCGGCAACCCTACTTCTCCTGCAGGTGTAGATCTGGAAGACTGAACTCTAGGGGACAATTCAGACTCTCCTGGTCTGGGTGACTGAGGACAGTCTGTCTACCAGCCTCAGAGAAATCGGTCCCCACATCCCTGCCTCATATGCATACACCATGAGCAGCTTTGAAAGTCCTTCCCTCCTCTCATGCTTCTTGCTTGGAATAGGACAGCCTGAACCTATTCTCCTTAACTTATTAGAGATGACATAACATCATGGTTGACACCTTCCTGCAGACCAGGCACAGCTTCATACAAAAGAGAGTACACTTGGCCATGAGTTAGGAGCCTGAGTTCCAGTCCTATGGCTATGTGACTTTGGAGAAACCTCCAGCCCTGTCTGGGGTCTCCACTTCTTCATGTGGAAAACAAACACATGTTCCTGCCTCTCTGCAGAGCCTGGATGTGTTGGGTGGAGTGGAGGAGTCCTGGGGTCATGGAGATGGACACGGGAAGGTTTAAGAGCTCTGAGTCCCAGCCTCCCAAACAGCCAACATGGTCTCTGCTCCTGCCTGTCCCAGTCTCGGTCATTGCGGGGGCCCTGACCTCCCACCTGCCCTTCTCCCCTGCCATTCTAGCTCTTCTCCTTCTCCTAATCTTGATTTTCCTGCCAGACATGTGCATGGGGACACTTTCTCCCTGGTTTTGTCCAGTTTCTTTTGTGCACCAACCACTGGAGCAGCGTGAATGTAGTTCAGTACCGCAGTGATATCTGTGGGGATTTAAAAGATATTCTTCTTTGTGTGGGTCCAGTTCCCAACTAGTTTTAAGTGACAACAAAGCCCAGTGGGGCCTCCCTTGTATTCCCCAGCATGGAAACTTGTGCTGTGTAGAGTTGTGCCCATTCACAGGATTTTGACGGAAAACACAGTCCAGAAGGGCTGGTTGAATTTGTTCTAAGTCCTTTGCATTTTTCTTCTAGTTAAAAATTTTAATGAAGAGCTGATTAATGTGGAATGTTCCAAATTCTATGCCCATTCTTTGACCCATCTTCAAACTATAATGATTCATTTTACCCTATTGGACTTATCTCCCAAAGTTATTAAAGAGAGGAACTCTAGATTTCCAGACAACATGAACAGACATTGTGGTTGGCGTCCCAAAGTGGGAGCCATTTTGAGTTCTTGGGCCACAGAAATCCATAGCTGCTACCAAGCAGGTAAGAAGTGAAATGCAGCCACCATACTCAGAGAGCCTGAGGGAGGCAAATCCTTCTAGTTGTTTCAGTAAGGGAGACTGGAAGCAAGCTTGCTCCCCAGGGTTGGGTCCCCGGTCTTTGATTCTATATCCGTGGTACAAAGAAGCATGTTCCAGTCTCCAGAGTCCACAGGAACTTTTGGGACAGGAAATATATTCAGTGCCAATGAAAATATATTTCTTGGACAGATGACTGAATAAATCAATATGTAAAATGTAGGCTCTCATTCTGGATAACAGAGATCTATATGAGCTTTAAATATTTCAAAATCCAGTAGAACAAGACTCTTAGTTCAAGACCTTTCAGTCATAACCCTGACAAAAGTGGCTTCCTTTTTCTGAGCTCTCATGATAGTGCCTTACGAGATGCTTGGTCCCCAGCGGGACTTGAGCACACTTCTCAGACGAACAAGGCACATTCAGTAGCTGATGTTGATGTCATGCCGTAAATCACTGAGACTTTTTAGGAGACCCTGAACAGGTTGCAGGAAGAACAGCTGAAAAATCTGGGCATGTGGGACTGGAAGAGGGAAGATGTAACAAACCACAACAGCAGGTGCGTTGAGCATCTGGGGCGCTCTTCTGTGACAGAAGGTATGGCACCAGGTGGCAGAACTCACACCAGTGGCTGGGTGTTTAGGGGAGGGTGATGTTGGCCATGCATCAGAAGGAACTCTGAACCCATGAGAGCCTTCTTCCCACGAATAGCCTGCCCTGTGTTGTAGTCTAGTGGAGGGTGATCTTTTCCAAGAATACGGGAGAGATGCAGAAATCAGACTGCCTGCCTGCTAAGGTAACTTCCAATTTAGGGACCACTGGATCCTACCGCCATCTTTCCACAATTGCAGTGGGAATGTCTCCCCCATCTTTCTTTTGGACTCAAGTATGGAGAATTGAGTTAGTCACATTCCTTAGTTTTTAACTTATTATCACCATCAATCCATACAAGACCTTTCTTCTGTTTTGTTTCATCTTTATTCACTTTGTCCCTAATTCTCATTCCAATGCTCACACCCTCCCCCATAGGAAGCAGCTCAATAGTGTTTGATATATGCCCTTGACATGTATGTACCCTTGTAGAATGTACAGCATTGGTTGTAAATATGTATCTTCTATATTTACATGCACAATATTCTCTTGTTCCCATTGTGTTACTAGTTTTTTCACTCAATACCATGTTTGGCCCTCATCTGTATTGTTGAGTGTAATCCAGTATCTTAAAGGATGCACGGTAGTCCATAGTGTCCTTCCAACACAGCTCGAGTGCCCTTTCCTGAAGAGATAGACATTGGGGTTGGTTCCAGAAACAACACTATGAGGAGCAAATGTGAATGAGTCTCCCTACAGAAATGTAAAAGAATTTCTCTGAGCCATATGGTCATACAGTGTGTTCATGTCTAACTATGCCGTCACCAAACCCATCAAGTGCTTTTTGACTCTTGTTTAATAAGCCCTTCCCCACTCCAAGTTCCTGGAAAAAAAAAGTTTACATTTCCTTTCTACAATTTCTTTCAAAGAATGTTGGCATTCTTTGTTCTCCCAGGAATTTACCCATTTTATCTAAACTTTTGCAGTTATTGGCCTATAGTTCATAATATTATTTTTAAAACTCCGTTTTGACTGTAGTCATACCTCCTTCTTCACTCTTCTGCCTTCCTTTTTTATTAATTTTATCCATTTTATCTAGTCTTGTCACAGCCAGCTTTGAGCTTTGTTAATCTTGTTTTTAGATCGCTATTCTTGATTTCAGTGATTTTTTAATACCTTTTTTTTTTAGTTTATCTGGCTTATTTTCACATTATTTTATTTTATTTTATATATTATATATTTTATTCCACATATATTTTATTTTATGTATATATATACATAAAAGCCATGACTTTAGCTCATGGTACTATTTCAGTGGCATCCCACAAATTTTTATGGCTGTTCAGGTCAAAGTATTTTTAATTTATAGAAAAACGTCCTCTGCAATCCCGGCACGATTCAGTAATTTGTAGTTGTTTTTAAACATATATTTCAGCTTTTATTTTTGTGTCAATTCCAAACCGTAGAGCGTTATAGTTAGAAGACATGGTTTGACATGACTTCTGAGGCTTCCTTGGTGGACATTCTGTGAATATTTCATTTGAGAATTGTTCTATTCATTTTAAAGTTCATTCTCAAGGTCCACCCCATGTATTTAAGATTACAAATCATGTAAAAAATATTTTTTATAGATTTTTCACCTATATGACCTATCACAGGGAAATAAGTGTCTCGTTTTAACATAGGATATAATAGAGTTTCGCTTTCTAGTTACCATAGTTGGTGTACAGACTGTCCCCTTAGTTCTGCCATTCCTGTTTTAACAATGTTAATGTTATACTTTTAGGTACATATCTTTTTATTATTATGATCATCTTAATCTATTTCTTTTATGTGAAGTGCTTCTCTCTCTCTTTCTCTTTTTTGTATTTTCTCTTTAAGTTTTAACTTTTCTGGACTTCTGGAAATTTTCATTTCCTGTCCCCCCCCCCACTCCCCCATCTATTTTCTCTCTGCTACTGAAATTCTTAGGACGGGTCATCTCTTTTCTTTTCTTCCCCACATACTATTCGTTGACCTTAGGACATGATCTTAGGAATATGACAAAGCTGCTTTTTGCAAAAATTCGTTACCAGAAACTGCGATGCCTAAAGTAAGCCACAAGAGGTCAGACAATAACTAAGAAAACAAGTGTGTGTGTGTGTGTGTGTGTGTGTGTGTGTGTGTGTGTGCAGTCGAAGTTGGACTGCCACCCCTGCTTGGGGCTGAAATTCTTGCAAATCCAAGAGCAGATTTCTACCCCAACCCCTGTGAACGAACGCTTTCAAGAGGCAGCAGGGTCTGCCCTGTCGCTTCTTGGTAGAGTGACTTTGGGCGAGTTGCTGAAACTCGATTAGCCTCTGGTCAGCCTCCCCTGGAAAACGGGGTAACAGGTCTCACCGCACAGGGCACTGTGAGGAGCTGGAGACCAAGCCAGCGCAGGAGAACTTGGAAAAAAAATGCAGCTTTTGGTCTTTCCTCTTCTGTAAAATGAGTGAGTTCGGTGAATGGGTCTCTCAGCTCTTATTCTGCACGAATCTTCGGTGTTTAGTAAAATTGCCTTCATCGTTTCTGGGCCATGACCACTTCCTGAGGGTTTTTCTTAGGCTGGTGTGAAGGAGACAGAGAAGAGCAGAGAAGACACCTGCCCCTCCCGTCTGGAGACCCGGGCCTCCAGGTCCTGCCCTGTCCTTTATGTGTCTTTAAGATTCAGGCTCTGCTTTGTCACTGCCTCAACCTCAGTGTCCCCATCTACAAAATGGGCTGAAATAACTGTGTCACGAGATGTGAGCTTTAATGCGATCACGCGTAAAAATACCTCGGAAGGCAGTAAGAGACCGACTGTATCTGAAAAATGGGCTTCTCCGGACTTCCTTTACAGGCCGACTGAGAAAGACAAATGAGGTAATGAATGTAAACGGATTAGCACAAATTCCTGCAATACACAGGAGCTTTAGAAGTATAATAATAAAGCACTAACTGGGCACCCGGATGGCTCAGTGGGTTAAGCCTCTGCCTTGGGCTCAGGTCATGATCCTGGGATCATGGGTCTTGGGACCGAGCCCCGCATCGGGCTGTCTGCTCAGTGGGGGACCTGCTTCTCCCTCTGCCTGACACTCCCCCTGCTTGTGCTCTAATAAATAAATAGAATCTTTAAAAAAAGAATAAAGCACCAATTAATAGCAGAGCCCCAAGTGGTGGAATGTGGAAGTCAAGTATTGGATAGTGTTGGAGAAGCAGCAGCCGGAGTTGGGTGGGGAGCCTGGCGTTGAAAAGAGACCCTTCCTACCTGAGGCGGGACATGAGTGCCGGCTTCTGCTGGCTCCAGGGTGAGGGGGCACCTGTCCAGGGAACTGAATTAATGGAGGCTCCGGCGGGAGATAAATGACCTATGCCCCGGCCCATTAATCATTCTCCATTCTCTGAAGTCTGAGATTGGGTGCAGAGACCGCGGGCGGGCAGAGGCCCCGAGGAAGGGGCTGGTCTGCTCCAGACCTCAGTGAAAACCCCCTCTGGTCTGTTCCACACCATTGAGCACCTGACTGTGTGTACAAGACATATTGATATAATTTCCCAAAATAAAGGAGAAGTTCTTGGACTTCAGTTCACAGCACATCTTTAGTAGCTCCTGAGCTGGGCCAGGCCCTGTGCTGCGGGCTCAGGCCTTGGAGATGAACAGGGCACGCCCCCCCCCCCGCCCCCGGGCTCAGGGCCTGGGGGACAGACCAGGAGCAGCTGCTTTCCACATCACGCGACAAGTGCCCGGATGAAGACCGCATGGCCGGGGGTGGCATCTGGGAAGGGCCCCCGGAGGAAGGGAGGCCTGAGCGGAAATGGGAGGGATTAATTATGACAACCTGGCAAGGTCCGAGGAGAGAGAAAGGCAGGCAGAAGGACAGCCTTGAACACACGCATGTCGGGGGCTGGGGTCCTGAGGCACAGCGGCCATAGCAGGAGAGGAAGCCGGCGAGGTGGCTGGGCTGGGTGTGCTCTGGAGAGCAGAGAGCCCGTCTCACACCTCTTGCCGCCGCTCACGCTGTTCACGGAAGGCCTCCGCCTCCTCACGGTGTACATCACCCACAGCCCCCTGGGTGATGAGCAAGGTCTTGGGGTGAGGCATGAGCGGGGCTGCCAGGCCCGCCTATTACGGGGGGGTGAGTGTCACTTCCCAGACGGCCTCCGCCCCCTGTCCGGAAGACCAACTCCCCAAGAATGTCCTTCCTTGCCCTGGTCTAACGAACACTCTCCAGGTCTGCCGCAAAGGCTGTCTTTGCGGTTCTGGACAGAGAGAACCCAGGACTTCAGATGAGCAAGGAGGGCGGCCAGGAACGGAATTTACCAGCTGCCTGGAGAAGGCCCGGAAGGTAGTACGGAGATGGGTGATCCAGACTTGGTCCGAGCGCTTCTGTCCAGCACCTGGGTCTGTCTCCCGTGGGCTCGGGATGCAGAGGGAGCTCAGATGCTGGCTGAAGCTGGGAGCCGCTCACAGCACCCACGGGGCTCATGTCCCCCCATCTCCAAGGTCCAGGCTGCTCCTCCACAGGTCTCCCGGTGACCTGGACCACCCCGAACCAGGCCCACGGAGCCACAGCCGAGAGTTAGCCCTAGAAGCCGGCCGGACACTCCCCTGGGCCTAACCACCAGACTGACAGGAGTTGGGGAACCCATGGGAACCCAGAGAGAACAAGGTGGTAAACTTGGACGGTGCCTTAAGGAAGAGGGTAGCAAATGACCCGACCATGGCTAACTGGTTAAATGGTAAAAACAAAACCAGACCAGTGCGGTTTGTTGGGGGTGGGGTTGCTTTTCCATTTTGGTTATTTTTCCCCCTTTCTGGCTGTTTCCAAGGAGAAAATGCTGGCTGTGCTTCCCGGTCTGCAACAGACATACTCCGCAGGCACCTCCCTTGAGAGAGAAAGCAGCCCGGTGCGCCCGAGCGGGTCTTTCAACACTCCCTCAAGCTGGCTTCCGGGGCCCTGTGGCCAACCACCAGGGGATTCGTCCCGTGGGACAGGGCCAGCCCGGGATCCCTCCACTTGGACCATTTATCATGGCAGCAGCTGGAGATAAGCTGGACACAAAGAGGATTTGTGTCCCAGGAGGGACGAGCCCTAGATACCCAACACGGAGGAATTTTCTCATTAGTCCATGCCGGGGACTCTGGGCTCTCACGACGTGTCCCAGTGCGAGGGGCAGCGGGGAGGAGGGCACGGTGGAGGGGCAAAGCACTCAGAGATGCTTTCCCTGAACAACCTAAATTAAAGTTTCCCGAGTGCATTTCCGTGGGAGAGATGAAAGATGCGAAAGGCCATCTGCACGTAGGACACTGTCTGGGGGGAGGCGGGGAGTCATCTCCCAGGGCTGAATTTCTTTGTGCAGACTTAATTACTTGTTCCCGCTCCCAGGGGAGCCCAGCAGGGGCTCTGCGTGGGGCACCCCACATGCTGCTGGCAGAGTGAAGCCCAGGGGACCACAGGGGACTGAATCTCAAAGATAAACCATTGCTGAGTCATCCCCGGCCACCAGCTGGACTAGAGACAGGGATGGACAGGACACGGAGTCAAACCACAGAGCATTCTAGAACAGTCCCAGGATTCGCCAACCTGAAAGGAATTCCAAAGCCTGAGAGCAAACTGAACCAGAAGGCATTCTCAGAGTTGGAAGCAGCGTCTGGGGAGCCATCCCGGATTAGCGGGTTCCATTAATTCCAAATACCAGCTGGGGGTCCCAGCAGCCCGTTAACGGACCTCAGGAATGAAGTGGGTTTCTCGATGACCTCTGCTTTGTTGGTTTTCTTCAGCAGTTACTGGAAGGTTGAGCTCAGAGGGAAGAACACTGCCAGCTGAAATTCACTGCCCCCCTTCGATGCTTCTGCCGCATTTTGGTACCCTGCTAACATAGCCTGTCTGTCCCAGAGGGCGGGTTCTGCGGTGTCATCACCCCTTCCCGACATGGAGAGAATGAGGTAGCCCTTTCCCACCAGGTTACCGCTGCGCACCAGACAGCACTGGGCTCCTGGAGCGGCTCGGATACATTGTATGAACAAATCCATCTTTGCACCCAGCTTTCTAGACCATCAGCTCAGCCTGGAGCACCGCATGAAGAGTGACAGGCACGGCTGTTTCTACACTTGCAAAAAAACGTTTTGCTACAATTTTCCCTATTTGATCTTCGCCCCAAATATCTACTTTGCCTCACAGTGGAAAAGAAAGGTATGGGAAAGGTGTATTTCACACCTGAATGCCCGCAGAAGCCCATCCGGGGAGCCGTCAGTCAGAGAAGTTACCTGAGGAGTAGTTGCTGGGGCTTGGACCTAGAGAAAAGGTTCCTATTTTAAGTGATTTCAATGCTCCCTCCCAACCCCGTGCGTGGAATGTGTGGGGTTGGTGTCTGCGTTTCTGCCGCCTTTCCAGAACAAGGCGCCATGCCCCGCTGGGTGGAAGCAGGCGGGTGGCCTTCGGGACCATTGTCTTCTTCATCCTCGGAGACACTGAGTGGAACCCAATGCAGAAAAGGCTGGGGGCCTCCTGCCCGAAGCGTTTCGGATGTGGAGCCTGGGACCCCACGTGCTGAGCTGTAGAATCCACCCTTCTCACCTGAGCAAAGGGACAGAGCCGGGCCCCCTTTAAAAAGGTGTATGGCTTCTGTGAACAGAAGAAAGGCCCCTTTTCCTGTCCCCACTCCCATCCATTCTCCACTTCCTCCCTTTTCAGGTGGTTAGAGGCCCGGCCATCTCTTGGCTGTGTGAGGCCTCCGGGTCCCAGGGCCCAACACTGGCCTCGGAGCAGCAAGACTCCAGCCAATAATCCAGTTGCTCCAGGGTGGGGAGGTACCTCAGCCAGCAGCTCTGGTCCCTCTGAAGGAGGTCCGTGTGCACAGGCACAGCCCTGTCCCCTCCTCCAGGGAAGAGGGCTGTGCCCCAGGTAAGTCACGGCCTAGAGGACAATCCAGGGGTCCACTTGCATCCGTCATGTCGCCCCTCCAACAGCCACATGATGGTCAGGTTGGAAGAGGGATGCTTAGTGGCCAGCCAGTTAGGGGGACTCATGGAGGGGGAAACCTGAGATCACTTCCCCGAGGGCCTCTGGTGGGAGGTCAGCAGGCAGTGCCCACCAGCCTCAGGGTTCGACCTCTGTCTCACCTGCCTGGGCTCCTAACCCAAAAGGCCAGTGCTCACCCGCCAACAAGCCAGCCTTGAGAAAACCGACCACTTCCCCTCAGTCCGGAGAAACCAAAGCCAACGGACGAAACCAAACCAGATCGTTTTATTCTGCAGTTTTTCTACCAGAACACTACTAAAAATATAAATATAAAATCTCTAGAAAATACTCAGATCTGTAATCTTCCTCTCCCAGACTGGGGCCAAGCTCTTTGTTCTTTCAAAGCCAATGGGCCATACGCCCATTTGTCCTTCATACCGTCCACATGCATCACACAGACACCTCTCTCTCTGTGCAGGGGAGCACGCCACTCTCCTGCCAGGTTCTGGAAGCTCACCTGTGATTTATCAGGGGAAGGCTAGGTGCCAACAGTGGGGCTGGGGGTGGGTAACAGGGAGGGAAGAGACTCTGTGCCCCCAACTCCCTTATGCAGGCTCAGAAGATAGGTCCTTTGTTTCTCATTATCCTGCCCTTGCGTCAACAGGCCACCCAAGTGGCCCATAGTGAGAAGCTGGACTCACTATGAGGGTGTGTTTGGTGGGGCGTGGGGGGGACCCTGTGACCACAGTGAGGTCAGGCTGTTGAGACAGACGCAGGAAGCCGCTCAGAGCCAGGCCCTCAGGAGGGCTAGAAGTTGTCATTGCTGCCGCCTGGGGGTAGCACTCAGCCCCTAGCACCAGGCATTACTGGCCGCATCTAGGCTGGGACTTCAGGCTTGAGCCCCCCTCCTACAGATGGCAGCATCGCTGCCTCCCCACCCCCCATGGGAGGTCGATGGCCTGGGTGGAGATCAGAGAGATGCCAAAGATGGGAGCAGGGTCCCGCCGGCCCTCGTTGGGCATCAGACACGAGTCTGAGGAACTCCAGCGTCATCTGGCAATGGTCCTGGGACGACCGGGATCCCTGGGCTAACCCTGAGTCTGAGGTCCAGGACCTCAGCAGGGGCTGGGTGTGGCATGGAGAGCAGCGTGCTTAAGCCAGCCCAGGCCCGCCAGCTCTCGGCAGGACGGGCCGCCATGTCACCTGGCGGGGGCCACCCTGTTCTCTGGGGCAGAAGCCCCAGGGGCCAAGGCTCTGCTAAGTTTCCCACCGGAAAAGCAAACAGATCTTCTGGCATGGAAGCTCCCAGCACACGCCCTTAGGTTCTCTGCCCCCGTCCCCAGCTCTGTGTTGTGTGCAAAACCCCAGGCTGTTCTGGGAGAACTCACAGGCTTCCAAACGCTAGTCCTGAGAACTTCTGAGTCTCGGGGTCAGAGATCATATCGTCGTGACGTTCTTGGAGGAAGGTGGCAGGATCTAGACCTTCAGTACCTGCCCTGCCCACGGCACCTGGACTGCAGAGCCCCTCGTGGGAAAGGGAGCCGAGGCTTTGCCAGGAGCACACGGTGCAGCCTGGCTTTCTGGGGCAACGGAAGACGGGGTGCGAGATGGGGCAGGAGGCTCCAGAAGCAAGAACACCAGAAGGGCCGCCGGCACCCTGCTGAGCCGCCCCCCACCAGGCTCCTGGGTCCAGAGGAGTTTGCTTGGATGTCACACACAGAGGTGGGGAGGGCAGGGAGCGGGAACTGGGTGATGGGACAACGTGAGCAGTGTTGGGGGGCAGGGGGAGCTGAACAATGGACAGAAAAGGGGCGGCAGCAGGAGGCCCAGGAGGAAGACTGCCCACCAGCTGCCACGGCTGGACGGGCCAGGCCAGGCTTTTCCAGGCAGCCAGCCACCCTGTTCAACAAAAGGGAGGTTCTCTTCTTGCTGCAAAGGCCCCCAGGGTTGGGATCTCCCCCCGACAGGGTTTCCTGGCCACAGGAAGACAGCACGACAGGGTCCCTGGTGGGAGAGAGGAACATAAAAGTGGGTTAACCCAGGAGGGCAGGCGCCGGTTAATGCTGGATGAACCGGGTTGGTCCCAGACATAGATCCCGAAGGCCGGGATGCAGAGAGGACCATGTGGCATCTGGGCCAGGGGAAGGCAGGGTAGAGGCTGCTTGAGGGAGACGGGAGACACAGGCCATTTGAACACGAGCGCAAACACCTCCTGCCTGGTAAGAGGGAGCCTGTCCCACAGCTCCTGCCACATCCCAGTCTCATGTTCGTCACCCCAGCTCTGACACTTACCATACCTGGACCCTACCTCTGCCTCATTTTAGGCCATGAGGTGGTCCCTGAAAACTGCTCTGAGCCCCCAGCGACTGCTCTGGCCTCATCCTGTCTTCTCCACGACTTCGGCCCCAGGTTCTGTTGGGGCCAGCTGCCTGGACACCAAGTTCCCGGGCCTTCCCCCAAAACAGGATGGTGGCCCGCTCAGCTGCCTCTGCAGGGCCCACCTAGCCCTGTCCTCGTGCAGCAAGGGTGCCCCGGCCTCCCCTTCTACGCCTGGAGCCTACATGTGCTAGGTCGTACCCCTTTCCCCCAGTGCCTCCTCAGTGCCTGGCTCTGGGCCCCATCCCGGGGGGCTTGGTGCATTCCCCAACTGGCCAGATGGGAAACACCCCGAGAACTGCCAGCAACCAGGCTGCCTCCGGGTCTCAGGCCTGGTGTCTCCTCTGGCCCGCACCCAAAGGGCAGATGCAAGGCAACCACCTGGGGCCTCCGTGGTCTCAGGACCGGGCGGAACGGTGGCTGGGCGGCACTCAGGGTAGGCCGCTTTCCAGGCTGGGCCCATCATCAGCCAAACCCATCATTTCCCACCCAGCCAGATTCCCTCAGCCGCGGCAGGAGAGAGTAACCAGACTGTGGAAGGAGAGGGGCAGGGGCACAGTGGGAAGTCAGGGCAGCGTGGGAGTAGAGGTGCTCCAACACCCCGGGGCTGTGGCCGGCACCCAGAGGACCTGTCCTCTGGTTTACAGAAAATGAGCCTTTGACAAGGACAACTGAGGGACTCTTGGCCCTAAACAGCCCACACGGGGGGACCAGCTCTCTGCTGATCTCTGCACCAGGGAGCAAAGGGCACACAGAGCCGGGGTAGGGGGCTAGGGAGACCAGGGAAGGAGATGGCAGAGGGGAAGGGGGGTGCTCGTCAGGAAGAAGAGGCCCTACTCAAAGGACAGCAGGTCTGGGTGCGGGCCCTCATTGTCAAGGCTGGAGGTCCGTGCCCGAGGAGGGGAGCTGCCGTCCTCCAGCGGCTCGGCCAGGTCGGGGGGGCTCGGGCTGAGTTTGAGGCCATTCCTCTCCGGGAGGCCCGGGGAGGAGGCCCTTCGGCACTCAGTCATCTTCGGCTTGGGTTCGTCTTGGCCATCCTGGTGAATCAGGTCAGGCACGGACAGGGAAACCTCTCCGTTGGGCAGAGCCTTGCCCTTGTCCACCATTTCCAGGGGGGCTTCGGGTGGAGCAGTGGGAAGGGGGTCCTGGGGCTGCCCAGGAGACAGCTCTGTCCCGTACTCCAGGCTGCTCAGGACGGGCTGTGACGAAATCAGCATGTCCTGCGTCGTCTTCAGGGCCCGAGGGGTTCGCTTCCTGGTGATGGGAGGCGGAGGATCCAGCCGAGGGAACGCATCGGGCGGGGCCGACCTGGGGGGGTCGATGACAACAGGCCCGGGCGCTCTGAGGATGGCGAGACCCCTGCCCCACCCTTGCTTCTCCAGCTCCCACCGCACGACGGCTCGCCCACCCAGCAAGCGCACCCCTGCTCTGTTTGCTCTGTGGGTTGTGGCAGCTGGAGCACCGCTGGCTTTTCCCTGGTGACCCCTTGTCCTCCCCTCCACCCCCTGTTCGGCGCTGACAGCAGCTACATGTTGCCATTGGGACCACCGGCAAGCTGTGTCACATCAGAGCTTTGCCATGAGCCCTAAGGGGGACACTGCCTGCTGAGGAGCATAGCAGGTGTGGAAAACAAGGCCTAGAAGGGACCTGGTGACCCCAGCAGGCTTCTCCCTCCCCTGCCTCCGTGGGTCCCAGGGATGCCCACGTTCCTCCCCCACCACCGGCAGAGCAGTGGCTCGAAGCTGTGGCTGGGTGTTAGCATCCACCCTGGGAGCCTCGGGCAATGCTGGGATTCGAATCCAGCTGTGCCCACTACTGACTCCATAACCTCACCCCTCTGAACCTGGTTCTGTGTGAGATGGAAACCATCTGGGCCGCTTCAGGGGTTGGGGAGTGTGGGGCCTGGCGCTTGTGCACGCCTGATGGGCGCTTGGTAAACTTCGGCCATAGTGACCGGGGGGGCAGCCAACAACCAGGGACACAGCCCAGCTCCATCCTCCGCAGGGCGAGCTCATGTGCCCGGCTCAGAGGTGCTCTCTGGAGGCCCGGGGTCAGTTCGGAGCTCTGCCGGCCGCCCCCCACCCACACTCACCTGGCCTCCTCGCCCGAAACCCCACCGGCCAGCCGGGCCCCCGCAGTCCTATTAATCTCCATGGCGCCTGCACCGTCCAGACTCGAGGGCTCCTTTCTCCGCAGGAAGTCGTTGACTTTGGCCCCCACAGCTCTGCCCAGGTTCTTGAGGTGCTGACTGCTGCCCACCCAGACCCCCGACCCCAGGGCGGCCGCGCTGGGGGCCGCCAGCCGGGACAGGTGGGGGAAGGAGCAGCTGGGCTGCAGCTTCGGGGCATGGGCGGCGTTCACGTTCTCGAACATGCCGTGGTCCACTGCAAACAGAGGGGAAGAGGGCTGCGGTGAGCGGGGACGGGTCGCTCGGCCTCTTGCCCGCACACCGCACCCACAGCTGTCACTGCCCCAGGCTTTGGAAATACTCGGGGGAGAACCCGCAGAGACACTCTCAACCCTTCTGCGTGGGTTTTCCAGATGGGATGTGGGACGAGCCATTCCAGCTCCACCCCGCCCAGTCCATTGGTGACAAGCTCCAGCCTTAAACCTACCACTTCCCCCCAATTTATCCTTTTACACCTGCCTCCTGGCTTGACCCCTGACCTTGGGGCCACCAAGCCCTCTGAAGAAAAAATAACGAAGAAATGAACTATGGTATTTTCTGTTACTGTGAACACAGCTGAGCGGACGCTGGCACAGGGGCCAAAGCTGGAGGAGGCTCGCGTGGGAAGCTCCCCGCTGAAGGCCACCCGTGGGGCAAATTCTCTCTGTGGGAAAACAGGCTCCCTTTCTCCTGAAGAGGAACGTGGGAGCATGGGCGGCTGCATGCAGAGATGCCAGGTGGGGGCTCCGGACCGGCTCATGTCGAAGCCTTGACACCCAGGGGAGCAGGAGGAGCCTGACGGCAGCCTCACGACCAGCCAGCGAGCTGGGCCATGGGAGGAATCCTACTTATGGATGCGAAGAACTGTCTGCTGGGCCTGAGGTCACAGGGCATGACCGGAGGGGCTGAGCGAGAACTCCGCTGTTCTCACCCTCTCCACGGACTTCCTGTGGCCTGGCGTCATGCAAGAGCAGCCTCAAAGACGGCCCTTCTGTCCCCAACTTCAGTCTGAAGGACTAACTCCGAGGGCGGCAGGCGGACCCACCAGGCTGTGAACAAGGCCACATCTCAGTCACCTTCGTATCCTTAACAACTAGCTTGGTCGGGTATACAGAAGGTGCTCAATAAATCTCTCAAACTGCCAGCCCCATTCTGCAGATGGGAGAACCATAGAGGTCAAGATCATAGCTCCAAGGGTTGTCACTGGAATGAATGGTTCTTGGGGCTTTAAGCCACACCGTCCACACGCTCGTATCAGGGTGTCCTCCCTCACCGGGAAGTCAAGCTCCGTCCTCCAAAGACAGATCCATTCTTTGGGGCCTTGGAGGCAAATGTGAGGTTTCTGTCCCTACCACCTACTCTAGATACTCTGCCGATCTGGGGGAAGAAGAGGTAACGCTTGAGCACAGACTCTGTTCTTGGTCTCCACCTCCAAGTGCCTACGCACACTGAGCCTTCCCAAGAGTGAGTGAGTTTGGGGTGCGCTGCTGCTTCTGTTGAATTTGGCATCAAGTAGCTCTCTCTGCCCTGCCCTGCTGAGTCCCCGTCCCGGGAGTGCATTTCCCTTTACTGCGGTTTCAGCGGACATACCCCCTCTGCACCCGAGCTAGAGAAGCCCTCCTGTAAAGGTCTTTGGGCGGCAGCAGGAAACTGCAGGGAGCGGAGAGGACGAACCCCACCCCCCAGGTCTATGCGTCTGCTGCGCACAGGGAAGGCACCACAGTGGGGCCCGTGCTAGGGAACTGGGGTAGAACCACCCCGGGGTCTGGGGCACAGAGCTGACTGGGTGAGGCGGCCTGGGCTCCAGGTGTGGCCACACCGCACCAGCAGGGCTTCCAGCCCAGCCCCCAATGGGGTCATCAGCTCCTGTGACTCTACGAAGAGCGCTATCTCGCCACACCATCACCCACTTCTGCATGCTTTCTCTATCGTGTCCTGTATCCTAGCTTTTCTTTAATTGTAAAATCTGTGGACTTGCAGAGAAGCCCTTGGTCATGAAAGCATTTAACTATTTCCCTCCAAACCAGCAAGTGTATTTGGGCCACCATGAAACCAGGGCAAGTGTCCAAAAGAGGTTGGCCAGGGAAGGCACACCCCCTTCCCACCCCTGCCACTTCCTGACTCTGATGCAAACAAGCCGGTCTCCTTACTGGTGTCACGTGAATGTACAGAGCAGACCTGCTCATTTCTGCAAGTGTAAGTAACCAAAACAAACCCCAAGTGACTCGTGAATCGTGAGCTCCTCTTATCTGAAAAACTTCCTAATAAGCACAATTAACTACAGGATCACGCCCCACTGTAGATTTCCTGTACTTCTTGCTCGCTACCTTCCCAAATGTCTATGCTGAATTCTTCAGTAATTTAAAGAAAACCTGTCCTATGTGTTCTTTGCAATTCCCTGTGTCTTTCTGGCCAACGCACCTCGTCTTGAAAACCAAGTGGGGAGCTCCTGGAGGAGACACAGTATCCCCAGTGACTTTTTTTTTTTAACTTTCTGGAGCACTCAGCACAGGAGTTGGCCATTTAGTAAGTTTGGCTTAATCGAATGGGCTTTTCAGAGGAATCCTTAAAACCTGACCACATTACGGGCAGATGGTGTAGAGAAACTGTTCCCGAGGCTTTACCATTTACAGAAGCCACTCATAACCTCCTCTGCCGAGGTTAGCCCGGAACAAGCGGTCTGCTCTCGGACGTGGGGCCCTGGTGGGGGCTTTCTTCGCTTCCACACCCTCGGGTGTGCCATGAGCACCTTTCCTGCTGATGGCACTAACGACCCCACACTCCGTCCTTCCCCCTGAACTAGACGTGGGGTGGTTCAGAATGTAATGATGACGATGGAAAGAAAAACGATGATTGCCCAACCTGGTGGCCCACCCCACGACACCCCCACATGCACATGTCCGAGCAGAGCCAAGCACCTGTGACGTACGTCGTCCATCAGAAAGACGGTCTCTTACCTGTCCGAGAAAGGGGCTCGGAAAGCAGGTGGGAGGCAAACGAGAGAGAGACACATTTTATGTAGTGGCCGACCACTCTGGGACTGTCACCTCCTGTCCCCGGCCACCAGCAACAACATACCAGGAGGGTTTAACATGCGAGAAAACCCTGGACAAGCAGGTTCCCACGAACTCTTCAATCCCAAGACCGGAAGTGTCTGTTTTTTTTAAAAACTCTAGAAACAGGCACTGAGGCAGCTTCGCGTGTGTTCCCCAGTATTCTGAGCCCCCTTTATAGGAAGTGTGTCTGACGTTCCCAAGCTGGCAGTGGAAAGAATTCAATGACCCCCCCTCCCACTCCTGCAGGATGAAATTCAAAATCTTCTGGATCCTGTGTGCATCGCTCATTACTCTCTTGTCCCATTTCTGCACACAAACCACCCGGGTTTAGACCATTCCAAGCATCTAAATGAGTAAAATGAGAGGACACAGTGGCAGGGAGGTTTGCCTGATGCTGCACAGGTTGCTAACGGCAGAGTGGGGTGAGAACTCATGCACACCAGCTCCCCGGGCCCCAGGATCTTCCTCTGCACCACAAGATCAAATCAAACCACCAATTCCCTCAAAGCTGCCCAAGTCCATGGTGTCCACTAAATTCCAACACCTTCTAAGTCTCCAAGCCAGGCTCTGCGGGAGGCAGTGAGGTTCTCCACCCTGTCCTGCAACGTTGAAGTCCTGTGGGCAGACACCAACAGGAAGACGACTCTGGGCTCTCACACCCAGAAGCTCACGCGTGCATGCACGTGTGCCACGACCGGGCCGCGTCTCTCCACGCAGCCCAAGCAGCTGCACAGTTCGATCAAATGCACTCTCTGTACCTAGTCTGCACCTGTTGTGACGCTCTACAACGGAGCTTATCTTCAAAATGGTGGGATCACCTTTCACCCTTACCCGCCCCCCCCCACCCCGCCCGCAGCAGGCTAGCCTGGGGTAGGACAGAAGCGAAGCAGAGAGAAGAAGCAACCTGGCCACTTGGAGTTCAGTTCCTCGGCAAACTGCTCATAAGGAGAAAATGGTGTTGAGTAAGCTGCCTGCTTGTGTTGTAGTCATTTGCTAAAAACAGACAACACCACCGTTTAAAACGTTACCTCGTCCCTATTAGGCAGTGCCCGGAAGTATTTAGGCACAAAGGGCCATGATGCTTGTAACTTACCTTGGAATAGCTCAGCAAGCCAAGTGTGGGGTGGAGGGAGGGTCTTTACAAAGCAAACGGGGCGAAATGTTAACAATAGGAAAACCCGGATACAGAATGCACAACAATTGGTTTTAGTTTTGCAACTTTTTGCCACTTTCAAACGATTTCCAGAGAAAATGTAAAAATTATACTCCAAACTGAGTAGCAGAAAGAACAAAAACACCTGATAGCAGAGGTGAGGCAGATGAAGGAGAAGCTGAGCAAGAAGCTTATTCAGAGAGGACAGAGGTCCCCAGAGTTGGGGGGTGGTGAGAGCAAGGACACAAAAGGACACCAAAGATAAATGGGATGGGAGTCAACAGATTACATCGTGGTCGCATCTCTGCCACAGGCTTCCTTCCCCCTGGGCATTCTCAATCGAGGCAGGCTGATGACGGATGACAAGTCCAAAAAACTTTCTAAAATTTAAGAGACTCCACCCGTCTTTGAAAGGGACGGCCTGGCCAGCGAGTGGAATCATGGGACCCTCTTGTGATGTCAACTGTACTGAGAATGTTCATCGTCTGGACAACCCAACCAGCCTCCGGGGAGCAGATGTGTGATCTCCATACCCGACAGTAGTCCGAACATGGAGAACTTCTCACTCCTCAGCATTTCTGGACCTCGAATCTCTTCCTCAGCTCTGAGCACTTTTCCTGACATTATGTCCTCACACGCCACCAGCTTGCCAGGTAAACTCTGGTGCCACTAGGGCCACAAAAATGTGGTATTTTTGGAAGCTTTTGAGTACTCTACCAGATCATGTTACAGGACTACGATTTAGTGAGAAAGTCAAATTACACATGGGGAGAAAATAATTTTTCAAAATGCTGCATTCATGGTAAGTAGTTCCTGATGTTTATTCATTTCTGGCAAGGGAAGGATGGGGGAACACATTTGTTGTCCAGTTTTTCTTTCCCTCTAGAATCTCAGGTGACTGTCTCTGTAGGGCAGGGACTTGCTGAAGCCCTGCTGGGATAAGCCGGAGAAGAGACAGGCTTCCCACCCTATCAGTAGCAACCTAGGAGGCAGGATGCCTGAGGAGCACAGCAGGGAATTGAGATGGACTCTCTAAGGACCCGCTGTTCCCAGTGTGGTCTGCGGGCCTCCCTGTGGGCCTCACCTGGGAGCTTGTTAGCAATGCAGGAGCTCAGGCTGCCCCCAGACCTGCTGAATAGGAACCTGCATGGGTAACAAGGCTTCCAGGTGGTTTCTGGAGAGGTGTGCCCGTTACAGCTGGAGGAGGACAGCCAGCCCTCCTAAACACCCATGTGCCTGTCCAGAGGACCCTTACACAGTGGCTTCCCAGACTGAGCTCTGGTTCCACTCTGGGAGTGGAGGCAGGCTGGCTTTTTACCAAGTGTTAGCAGCCATCAGCGTGTTCACACGGCCAGAGTCTACCTGAACACTCCTGGGCTGTGGGCGGGAAATGCTTTCAGTTGGAGAAACCACATAGCTTTATGTAATATAGCTATGTGATCTGTGACCAGACTCCCTCCCCTGGATCCCGGAGGAAGCTCCGAGGCTGGAACACAGACAGACAGACAGACAGACACACACACACACACACACACACACACACACACACAAACCAAGCTGCAGGAAGGTCCAGAGAAAGATGGGCAGGGCAGAAAGCGGTCATCTGGTCTGTATCTAAAACTCCCCTGTGGAGAGAATCTTTCCCAGATCTCCATGAAAATGCCCCATTTGGATTTCCCCAGGACGCCACCCAGAATAGTTCTGCTTCTCTGGGTGCAAAAGAGGGCGCTGTTTGTCTTCAGCTTTGCAATGTCATAAAGTACCAAGGTAGAGCCTCTAGGTACGTCTTGGGGGCTTGGTCACCAAGAAGAGGACTCCCAGCCTCGCGCAGCTCACCAGAGCGTTTCTTCCCTAACCCAGACATTGCAAAGACTGCACTACCCTCTGAGGCGTCCAGCCCAGCTCAGGCCCTGCCAGCCCTGTACCACAGCAGCGCGTTCCGGCTCGGGGTGCAGAGCCTGGGGTTCTCTCCAGGTGAGGCCTTCTCTGCCTTGGGCAGGCACCTGTGAGAAGCTGGAGGGGCAAGGCTGCTCCCCTCCAGGAAGGGTGCTTCCCCCCGCCCTGCCCTAGCCTTCCTGGTCCTCCCTTCCACAGGCCCCCGCAGGCCCCCGCAGGCCCGTCTCCCGAGCTGGGGGTGAAACTGCAGCTTCCGCCTGGGGTGGGCTGTTGCGGGCAGACAGACAGGGCGGCTGGGACAATGGCCGTGGCCACGGGGTGTGGGAAAGGGGCGCTGGGGAGCCACTGAGCCACCTGCCCGCCCTTAGAGGAAGGGGAGGCGAGGTGTCCGCCGGGGTAGAAGCACCTGGCCAAGGCCAAGGCTTAGTGAATTCAAGTGGTCTCTACCCGCGACACCCAACTGCCACTGGTGGGAGTGGAGGAAGGAGGGTCTCGGGCGGCTCTCGCCACCCCGACTCCTGCTTACTCTCAGAACTGCCGTCGAGGGGGCGCAGGGAGAGACCCTTGGACCACACCTGACTCATGGCCGCTTGCCTTTCTGCTTCTCCCGGCCCCTCCACCCCTGGCCACCCTGGGGCCTTGCGCTCAAACCCGACCCTTTCCTCCGCAGACTGCATTTTGAGGGATCCCCAGAACGGGGAGCAGCTGAGGCGGAACTGCACCATCTACCGGCCCTGGTTCTCCCCTTACAGCTACTTTGTCTGCACAGACCAGGAGAGCCAGCTGGAGGCCTACAACTTTCTGGAGGTGCAGCGGGACGAGGGCAGGGGGGACAGCTGCCTTCCCGAGGACCTGGCTGAGAGCATCTGCTCGTCCTCTTCCTCCCCAGAGAACACCTGCCCCCAAGAGGCCAGCAAGAAGTCTAGGCATGGCCTGGACTCCACGGACTACATCACGTCCCAGGACATTCTCACGGCCTCCAGGTGGCACCCGGCCCAGCAGAGCGGCTACAAGTGTGCGGCCTGCTGCCGCATGTACCCCACTCTGCACTCCCTCAAGAGCCACATCAAGGGGGGCTTCAGGGAGGGCTTCAGCTGCAGGGTGTACTACCGCAAGCTCAAAACCCTCTGGGGCAAGGAGCAGACGGCCCGGCCCGGGGACCGGCTCTCCTCAGGCAATTGCCAGGCCTTTAAGTAGCCTGGTTGGGGGTTGGGGGCTGGGGGCTGGGGGTGGCAGCTGTCCCGTTAGTGGGCGCCTCAGGTAAAGTGGGGAGGAAGCCCGTTCATGCCTCCAGAGAGATGTCAATAAACCCAAGTTAGTCACAGCCTTCTGTCAAGTCCTGGGTCACCTGGATCCACCTGTGGTCCTTCCCGGTCCCCATCCCATGCCCCCTTTGGCGAACGGTTGCTGAGCAACAGCAGGTCCCCCTCGCCGCCCCTCCCGCCTTCCCTTCCCCTCTCCTCCTCAAGTTTGAGAAGAGCCTCTCTAGGGGCACTTTTCAAAGTGAGGTGCCCAGATTAGCAGCGTCAGCATCCCCTAAGAATCTGCTAGAAATGAAATCTCAGATTCACTGAATCAGAAACTCAGTGGGGGCGGGAGGGAGCCTGGCCGTTGGGCTCTCAGCTACCTTCTAGGTGATTCTGGGGCAGCGCAAGCATGAGATCGCTAAACGAAGACGCTGGCTTACTGGCGGGTCCCCCAGTGGTTCCCCTGCGGGACAGCTCGGCCGGAGGGGAGGAGAGTGAACGCCCTTTACTGCGGGCACAGGGAGGCTCCCCACCGCAGCACCTCTGTGCGCTCTGAAAGCTTCTCGGCTGTTAGATCTTCCGAGGGGAGGAACAAGGAAGATCATATGGCCCCCTGCGTAAGGCAGGAAAGAGGCACGTGGGGCCGGGCGCACCCCTACCCCCACCATGTGCCCCACGATCCTTCACTTGGAAGAGGCACGCTTGCTGAAGCACGGCAGACTTGCTTCTGACCTGGGGGGCATCTGTACCTGGCTGAGCTGCGTCATGGCAAACAGGCAGGGACACGTGTGAAAACACGGCTTCCCGTCACCGAGGAGCGCAGCAGCGGGCAGCCCTGGCGGACAACCCATTTCCGAGGCGGCCTCACTACCAGCTCTGACCCAGAAACGTGGCTGAACACCAGGGATGCGGGGAGGACATCTGTCTTACCCATTACGTGGTTTTGAAAAAGAAAAGAGAGCTGAATGCTCAATGGTCTTATTTTTAGGCCTTATTTACCTCTCATTTCACCTCCCTAATGCTCCAAGGGGGCCCTCTCACCGCGGTGGGGTATCTCCTTTTCCGGGGCCCCCAACACCAAGCCTCCCTTTACCTCGGCCTCCCCCCAGCCCCCGGTTGGCCAACAGGTTGGGGTGGAAGATTGCCCCTTGCCCTTCCAGTGGCCCCACAGAGAGGCCTCTGCTTTCTGCTTCTGCTTATCCCTGTCCTGCTAAAAGGCCGGTCATGGTTCTTTTGTGAGAGGCTAGGCTCGAATCCCATCACGTCCCACGTGGCGGGACACTTCCCCACTTGCTCTCTCCCCACCTGCTACCATCCCAGCCAGAGTCCAAGAGGGTACTTGTACTGTGGGCTCCAGACCCCCAGCCTGCCCACTCCAGGGTGGGTGGTCTCTCTGGGGAGCCCTGACGTCACCCCCTGGACCCCTCAGGGGAGGGCAGCAGAGGGGTCCTCACTCTGATTTCCTGTTTCCCAAAATGCAAAAGTTACCTACACCCCTGAAGACCTCCCCTTCCGTGCAACCCCGCACACGTGGATCCCCTTGGTGGGGCCCTTGAGAAGGGAGCAAGAGGATGGGCTCACATGGGGGCCTCGTGGCCTTCCTTCAGTCTGTGGGGGAATCAGGATGACTCGGCTCTTGTCTGGCCTCACACCACCTGCCCAACCCACATTCCCTCCTGCAGGGTATATGTGTCCCAGGCACGGAGCCCGTTAAAGACAGCAAGCCATCCTGCAGCCAGGGTCCGAGCAGGGGGGGGTCACAGCACGTGCCGACTGCCCGGCAGGGGCTGGAGTTTCGTGTGAGGTTAGGCGCTCTCTGCCTCTCACACATTTACCAGCATCATTGAGAACCCCAGGGACTTTCTCAGTGCAGAGTTCCGAGGGAAGTTTCAGCACGCAGGAAATGCACACAGCCCACAAAGGCACAGACCACATGGGCACCACCCCCCAACCCCAATCAACTAGCAGGTAAGCTCTGTGGTGCCCTGAGCCCCTGCCAGGAGCTCTGCTCGATGCTCGGAAAATGCCAGCTCATTCACGCGTCATTACCGCTTTACGTGGTCTGTTTTGTCCCCATTTTACAGATGAGAAAAATGAGGCTCAGTTCCCTCACTCAGAAAAGGGGCAAAGGGTTGATCAGATCCTCTCAGCCTTCCTGCAGAGTTGGCCGCGCCTGACAAAGTACCAGGCCAGCAGGGCCTCTGCCTTCGAGGGGCTAAACGTCCTGGCCAAAGTAAGCTGGTTTCCATGACGTCGGGTTTTGAAATCCTGCAGCTTCTATCTCTCTGATGCCCTTCCCTCTCTAGCCTTCCTCCCTTTCGTGACGCCTGCTGGCAGGAAGGCCAAGTTCCCGGGAGCCAGCACCCCTCTGCCGAGCCAAGCGACAAGGGCACCACCATGCCTGCGGCCAGGTGTGGGGACGAGCCCGTTTTGACTCTGGGATGGGCATTTCAGGAACCTAGCCGTTCGGAATCCTACCTACTGCGTAGTTCAGACATTTAGTCAGGGAGTCCAAGAAATTTTATGATCTAGATGATCTTAGTTATAGCTGGAAATATCTATGATGTCATACTTTTTCAAGAACTCAAAATTTTCAAGCACTCACTCTGCAGCGTGAAAAGACCCGGGCTTGGGAGAGTCTGGAAGCAGGCACGAGCCCAGAGCCTCGGGACTACTGACATTTGGGGCCAGATGATTCTCTCTTGGGGGGTGAGGGGTCCTCCTGTGTGTGTAGGATGTTTAGCAATGTCTCTGGCTTCTATCCACTAATTATCAAACGCATCCTTCCCCCAGTTTGTTCAAACCGAAACTGTCTCCAGACACCACCGAATGTCCCCCCGGGGAAGCCACACTGTCCCTGGAAAACCACGGCACAGCCGCCTGATGAGCAAGGCTGGTCTAGCTAAATCGCACCGGAAGCCACCACCTTCCTCCCCCGTTTTCTGACCACCACCACCCCTGAGAACAGTGGCTCGCAGAGCTGATGGCCGCTGGCTTGGGAAGGGGGGTGAAGTGAGGGCAAGTCAGGCAGCAGATAGAAGAAGCAAGAAAAGACCATGGAAAAGCTTTTAGAAATAAGAAAGGTTTATTTAGCAAAAGCCACTAGACTAGTGACGACATCCAGGGAGTAAGTGCACTTTACATGAACAGAATCTTGTCCCAGAGAGTTGAACCGACAGAGTTAATGACACAAGAGTTTCAGGAAGCAGAGGGCTCGGGGTTGGTGGGGTGAGAGGAGGCGGTCAGGCGAAGAGGAAATCAAAGGAACACAAGTGCTGAACAGGAGCCTTGGGGAGAAGGAAAGCTACGAAGGGGCTTCACAGAGAGCGTTGGTAGAAGCAAGGATAGGAGTATCGTTTTCATCCCAACAAGCAGTCCGTTCTGTGCAGAGAAATTCTTTGCTGGCTCTGCACCTGGGAGAGCCTCACGCACCCAGGACTCTGCCGGCCCCTGGGAGGGGGCTGAGGCAGGCACCCATAGGGTAGGCGCCCTCCCCCGGTGTCCACTTGTCCTGTCTACAGGGCAGAGCAGAAAGATGAAAAAGGAGGAAGGCAGCAAGAAGCAATGAGGGAGGAGAGGGTGACGTCGCTGGGAAATCAGGTCTGCACTGTTCTCTGTTCTGCCCGGTGGCTGGTGACCCGTCAAGGCCCCTAGTTCCATCCAGTCTCCCGTCGCCATACCCCAGGCACACTGGGGACAGTGCAGACACGCAAACCAGCGCTCCAGGGTAGGACCCCTCTGGGGTGGGGGGCTGGGGCTGAGGCAGCTGGAAACCACCGCAGAGCATCCGAGGGCAAGGGTCCGGGATGGGTCCGGAGTCAGCGGTACAAACAGCCTCTTCAGATCCTTACTCTCTCCTAAATTCCCTTTCTTCTTTCCCTCTGCAAGCTTCTCTAAACCCTTCCGAAACTACTCCCCACCCACCCTCGCCCTTCCCCACGCCAGCCCTCCCTCTCTTGCCACATTCCACAAATCCAGTGGCTTCACGCTGGGCTCCTGCTTACACGCAGCGGCCCGAGAAGCCAGACCTTCCACAGTCCCGAACACTCCAGAAGATTCTACCGCTCAGAGCGGCCGCACCCAGGGGAGGGTCTGGGAAGCCGGCTCAGCCACACCGGATTCCCAACACCTCCTTCAGTCTGGGGCTCTCACCTTCCTGCTTCTTCCTTGTGTATCTGGACCTATTCCATCCAACGGCTAATTAGAAAAGACAGAGAAATAAACAGAACCACCCCTCTCCAAATAAATACACTGTTAGGAAAAACAACACAAGTCTGCTGTCGTCCAAACGCCCTGAAGATTCACACTCTCTTCTCTCCGGTCACTTCTCACTCACCCACACACACGTACTCACCTTCCCTCACACGGGTATACAAGCCTATCTGTACACACGTGCGCACACACATCCGTCCACACCCCATCCTCTTTCTGCCAATACCCTGGTGTGCCCAGGAAGGCCACCATAAAGCTACGTGTATTTCCTTTCCTTTGGACTTTCTAGTGTAGAAGAAACCCAGCTATTTAAGAAAAAGGGCTACGCTTTCATTTCTATAAATTATAAAGCAAGGTCGGGGTTGAAAAACTCTGTGTTTTGGGCAACCCCATCCTTACCACCGAATCCTCACAGAATACTGCTGTCTGGGTCTGTTGCTCGTTGTCCGGGTTGAAGACTTACTTCCCCACACACAAGACTCTAGCAATGGCTCGGCTCTCTCTCGAGGCAGCTTTAAATCTGCTAACAGCCACTCGTGGCCTGACTGTCACAAAGGGAGCGTGGCCTCCCTGCCATGGTTGGCCGGCCAGCTGAGATGGCGTTCTCTAGACAAGGCCTGGATGGTCAAAGACGGGTCAAGAGGGGACAGGGCTGTGGTCCCTGACCAAAGTGGCAGTGATTCTGAAGAGTGGAAAGAAACAGTCTCAGCTACCAGCTCGCGTTTGGTTTTTTTCCTGCAGTAAACACTGACCACTAACGCCCAGTGGAGGGGACGGGTTGAGAGGTAAGGCCGGGGGGTTGGGGACTTTCTCCGAGGGGAGGATGCTGTACAAGCCTTGGCCGACATGGACCCTGAGGCAAGACACGGAAGGGAGAAGGAGGCAGCCTCCACGCGGAGGAGCTGGGCTTGCAGGCAGGACGGGGTGAGGGGGGGGTGTCTCCCACACTGAGGAATCGGACCAACATCATCTGGGGCCCCAAAGGGGCTGCCCTCCCCCAGGGCTTGCACCGCAAGGGCCTGAACGATGTCCAACTCCCAGTCTCCCTCGGAAGTAACACCTCACATCCAGCTTGAGCAAACGTCCAGGTTCAAGTCATCCCAGAGCTTACCCGACATGAAACATCCCAATTCCATGATTGCGCTCGGAGCTCCACCCCGTCCCTTACCACCGGGGCATTCAACCTCTGTCATCTCCACAACGGCCTAGAGAAGGAATTCCTTCCAGAAAGTCAGGGGAGGGTTAGACAACTGGTAACATCCTGGATATCCAGACACACAGGACCTGAGCTGGCACCTGATGGCTTCCCTTTGCCGTGGGATCGAGAGATGGGGCGGGAGGGGGCTCCCCGGACCACCCCGGATGGGACAGAGCGGAGGAGCCTGATGAAACAGCCCGCACATGGCAGTTCCTCGGGCAGCCTGGCGATCCATACGAGGGACCCTCTCCCGAAGCCACCGGCTCTGGAAGGCCCTGCCCTCCCCTCCCAAGTCACAAGTGGGAGAGAGGGGCCCACTCGCCTCTGGGAGTCCCAGTTCTCCCCCATCGGACCCTCCAAAGCAGAGTCGTAATTCTTTCCTGAAACCACAGGCTCTCTGAGGTCCCTGGCTGGAGCCAAAGTCGCTCGTCCTCCCGGCACTCACCGCCCTCCACCGCGCGGGCATCCTCGGCGGTGCACCCGGCCCCGCGCCCCTCCGGCCCTGCACCCGGCCCAGCCCCGCGCCGCGGCCCGCCCTACACGGCGATCTCATCGTCCAGGCTGTCGCCCAGCTCCTGCCTCTGCAGGACGTTGAGCAGACGCGGGAGCTCCTCCTGGGACCACGAGTCGCGCTCCTCGCTCTCGTCCGTGTTGGACTCGTACTCCGAGGCGATGCCCGACTCGCGGAACTTGAGGAGCTCCAGGCCCCCCAGCAGCGGGCCCGCAGACGGCGGCAAGAAGCGGAAGCACTCCAGCTTCACCAGGCAGTCACGCCTACCTAGGGGGCTGCCGGCGGGGTGGGCCAGCTCGGCCAGGCCCGCGCCCGGGGGCGGTGAGGGCAGGTCCTCCGGCTGCGGGGTGGTGGGGTCGCAGAGCACCGGCAGACCTCCGGAGCGGAAGGTGATCTCCAGCAAGCTGTCCTGGGAGCCCACTGGAGGGGGGACAAGAGCACAGCAGCCCAGGTTAGCAAGGCGGCTGGGAGTGGGGGGGCGTGGGGGGGGGGGGGACACGAGCTGGGTACAAACCGAGAGGGCCAGAGCAGGGTCTCTGTAAGCAGAGACGGAAGCCCAGAGAGGCTTCCAGCGGCGAAATGCAGGGGCTGTTCCCAATCTGTACCTTTATGCCGCTTAAAGCAAGAGTCCCGGCCCTGCCCAGACCTACTGATCATGACCTCAATGGGCTGGACTTGGGAATATTCATTTTTTAAAAAAGCTATAGGGGACAGGCTGAGAAATTACCGGTCTCACAAGAGACACATTCGTTTTGCCGTCAGACCCAGGTTTGAATCTTGGCCCCACACCTTGCTGGTTCTGGAACCTTGAGCTGCCTTTACCTGTTTGCGACTCTCTCATGTACAAAATGGGCATAACATCTGCGACTCTGGGGGTTAGACGACATCCTGTCCGTGAAATTCTATCACAGCCTCTGGCACAGTAGATGGCCAGTGGCTCTGTGACCAGCACATACCAGGCCACGGGTCAGCACGAGGGAGGCCTGGCAATGTGCTGCCTTCTCGAACCTCCCAGGCCAGCCCGGAGGCGGCCGAGCATCTTAGGCCGGGCGCCAGGCAACCTCTGCCCGGAGCCAGCCGTGCTTTCTGGCCAGTTCTTTTCTGCCTTATGCGCAGAGCAGACACCTGCTACCAGCATGTTCGAGGCTAGAGTCGTAAACTCTACAGCGCGGGGGAGGGTAAGCTCGCGTACAGTGTGAGGTCTCCCACGGAGCCCCCAGGCAGCGTGACACCCGACAGGTGCTCAGTCTGTTTCCATTGGAAAAGCCCACGAAGAAAGCAACAGACTTCCTTATCAGGACATGGAGTGTCTGAGCCCCTTTCGAGAGGAGCCTGGATGAACATGTGGCAAGGACTCCCAGGGATGTTCAAGGTCAAGCCTGGGCTAGAAGGAGCCAAGCTCCTCTCTGACTCTGCTATTTTGCTGTTCCATGAACTGTACGGACAGGACAAATGGAGCCGCCTCTGTCTTCCGCTAGAATACCAGGGCAGGGCAGGGGCCTAAGAAAACGCCACCAAGAGCTTCAGGGAGAAGAAAAGGCGTTTTCCAGAGCCCCCACGGAGGGAAGCAAGGCTGGGCAGGGCCTCCACTTACTGGCGTTCTGTCCGGACAGCTTCAGCTCCAGCTCTTGCACCTGCTTGACCAGCAGAGAGATGTGCTGCAGCAGGTCCTTGTTCTGAAGCAGGAGCTGGTGCACGCGGGCCTGTGCCTCCAGCCGCGCGGCCGCTTCGGCAGCCAGCTGGTCCTTCAGCAAGTGAACCTGCAGATGGGAGGCGGAGAAGACGGAGGGGACGGGACAGAGAGGAGAGGGCCATGAATGCACCCAGGAGTCACCGGGGTTCCGCGGGGACCAGAGACACCTGCCATGTTCAACTCAACACAAAGAAGCCCTTCCGGGGTGGAGTGGGGACCTGGGCTTGGAATTCAGAGAAGCGTCCCTAAGAAGCTGGGTTGCTGGACCAGGGGTCTCTCTGAATGTCCCGAGTGAGGGCCATGGTGGGTCACTCACAGACCCCTCAGGGCCCAGCACCCAGAGCAAGAGGTACACACGAGCCGAGCCCCAGCCTCTGCCTCCCAAGCCCTGCCAGGAGAGTGTCTTGATGGTGAACGCGTTCCTGCCATGTGGAGGGAGGGAACTTCTTTTCCTCGTGTCTTTTAAAAGAGAAAAACAGAAATGGATATACGGGCCCAGTAGCTAAGAAGAGAGTCACAGCAACCCCGAAGTGGCCTTTCCTCTCCCCTTCCTGGGGCTCACATGGAATGGGAAGCAGGAAGCCCCACAGATGCCCTTCCCTAGTGCAGGGGTCATAATAAATTCTGCACTCTCACCTCTGGGGGCCACTTTCTTTCCCTGACTGTCCATCCCTCTTCATTTCCAGGTGCTTTACACCTGCTAGCGGTCAAACGTCTGCTGACTGGTTCACAGGAGGGCCTCCTCCCGCGAACCTGGAAGGGTGGAAGCCAGCGGTTCACAGAAGAGGGGGACCCTGTGGGAAGAGGGGGACCTCCATCCACTCTCCTCTCACAGGGGAGCAGCTGGCAATGGTGCACCCAGCCTGCTCGGGACCCTGGGTCGGGGGTCTGTTCTCGGTGCGTAACAAGGTATAAAGAGAAAACACAGCGGGAGATGGGGGGGGTGATTGTGTCAGGAGCCTGGCTTGAAGAAACTGAGTCACAAGGCAACAGCCATGTTTACGCACATGAGATTCTTGCTCTAAGTGGTGGATAAGGGGGTCTCGTGGAGGGTTTTAGAAGGTCCCTGAAGAAAGGTAGCTAATGAATTTGGCTCAAACCAAGGCAACTTACGGGTAAGAGGCTTCCTTGGACTACAACTACGGTGTGGACAAAGTCAGAGGCAGGGTGACTGGGGTGCGGCAGGTGGGGAAGGAGAGGGGCAGGAAGGGTGAGCCGACTGTGGTTCAGACAACAAATGCTCTGGATTTCCAAAGAGCAGTTGGCTCCGATGAGATGCATTTTCTCAGGGAGGAACAGGCTGAATCCAACCCGTAGTCTGGCCAAGGGACCTGCCCAGCCTGGAGAACCACACGGCTGGATGCGGCGGCTTCCCTCCTGGCAGATTAGAGGACCTGACCTTGCAGTTGCCTCTGCTTCTAAGTGGGAGCCGCTAATGAGATTAGTTGCCACTTTCCATTAGCGGTTCCTAAGGCTGGACCTGTCTCGCCCTAGGGAGGACGCCTAAGGAATGCAAAGTGAGTCTGTCCTCCACAAGGTGAGGCTCCGGACACAACTGACGTTTCAGTTTAGAAATCAGCCTCCTTTGCTGCCCCGAATCAACTATGGAAAGATCTAGAGAGTGATGAGAAGAGGGAAAGAAGCAACAGTAACATTTTAATCTGGGTATCAAATGGTGAGCGGCTGTTAAGCCTGTATCTTCTTTGGAAACTGAGGCATGGAGATATTTGACCTGAGACCCCCGCCCCGGGCATTTTCCTGGTTCTGAGAAACAGGACAGTTGCTGTGGGAAGCTCCTGGAAGGGTCCCCCCCAGGAAGGGCCAGCCTTCACCTTCCATTTGGTAATGTGACTGATTCCAATCAAGACTACCATTGAAAGGGATCTAGTGAGCAGGCGGAGTTGTTCATTATCCAGTTTCTAGTTTCTTTGGAATGAAACAGAAGCATTAGGCAGAAATTTGGAACAGAATTTTTCAATGCGCATAAGCAGAAAAAGCACAGAATTCCGTCTCCTGCTAACCGGCACCTACAGGAGGGGGCCTCCCGGCACGCACACCACGGACTCGGAGCCTTGCCCCTTGCACATGGACGTCCCAACAGACAGGCCAGTTGAGAGCACTAGACCAGGAGCTGGAATGTTCCAGACCGCTGGTGACTCTCTCTGCCACGGAAGGTCATTCCCTTCTGCCTGGACCTCACTTTCTCCGACTCTCAACGGAGGGGCCTGCCTAGAGGCTCAGGCAACATAGGATTCCAGCACCAGGGCCACTCGTCAAAGGCTCAGGGAAGAAAATCTCTAGATCCGCTAGTGACACCTAGTGTCACTTTGTGTCCCCTAGTGACTGGGGACACAAAGGGAATCTCCTCCTGCAGAAGCCGGGGTGGGCAGGGGTGGGGGAGAATATGGGGAGCTCTGTTCACAGGTGCTCAAGTTTCCCAGGGCAGGGCACCGTCCAAACAGAAAAGCCGGCCCTTGAGTCGAACGTTTCCGTCTGGCACTAAGAGCCATGAGAAAATGCCCCCCGGGTCGGCGTGCTCCTTGTGCAGATTCCATCAGAATTTTAGCTTCGCAAGTGCAGAGCTAGAACATTTCAGGTGTTTTCCAACCCCAGGAGTGCGGAAGCACACGCTGCTGCGTACAGCCAGCGCCAACGAGCCCGCTGGCTTCTGAGGCCGCCCGCGGTGGGAGCAGGCACGAGGCTCGAGCAGCTCTCCGTGCCCCTGGGAACCCCAGCCGGGCCAGGCAGAGACAGAACGGCCTGGGCTGCTTTTAAACTGGAGACGATGTGGTCGTCCCTGGGTTTTGCCCACGTGGGTCTGGCCTTGGAAGCCCGGAAATAAGGCGGCGTTATTTTCCGCTTTGGCTGGGGCCGCCTGCTCGGCTCTGTGGGCTCCCTTCCTCAAGCCCGAAACAAGTGCAGACACCACGCCCTGCCGCCCTGCCAGACTGGACCGTGATTCGTGGCCGGCATGCTGTTCTTTCAAAGAATGAAACACCTTTTGCAAAAAAGTAGGCCGTGCTCATTTCAGAAAAGGTACGAGTTCGCTTCTGCTTTCCGGGGCTACAGGGGTCTTGGGCAAGGACTATTCCGCTCACCGACGAGGTCAGCAGGAAGGCCATTGCCGGAGTGGGGGAGGAGGGGCTCAGCCCTGCACCCTCCGGCTCTGACGCCCACCCTCAGCCCACCCGGCGACACCAGACCGCCGCCCGCTCACTCTCCAGCCTACTTGCCTGGACTCCAGCTCCTCCGTGAGAAGTAGGGGCAGGGCCAGGCTGAAGTTAGGGAGCAGGCACATGGAAATGGCATGGAGAGAACCAGAGCAATTTGCCCCCCCACCCCCCACCAGACACACAAGCAGAGGCAGGCGGCGCTGTCTCAGCATGCACAAGGCGCGGCCCCCAGGGTGCTGGTGACGAGGAGAAGCCACGGGGACAAGAGCGAAGTCTAGGGCCTGGAGGTGCGGTGCGGGAGTATGTTCAGCGCTGTTTGTCTAACGAACTAGAGCGCACGCGATCGCGAAGCACAAGGAACCCATCACGGGTTTCAGAATAAGCGCGAGTAGCAGCAGGTAGGGGAGGAAGTTCTAAACAGCAGCGGTGCACGCACAGGCCGAGCCTGCAATGGCACGCTGGGAAGGAATCCGGCCCCCTTCACCCCTGCCGGTCAGCCGCAGTGCCCAGACCGGTTCCGGACCTCGACGGGCCCGGCGCAAGGCCATGCAGGTGCTGGCTATGCCCCAGCTCGGGTTCAAGGCTTGTCTGTATGGTCATTCACACCCTTGAACTTCTGGCCCAACTCGAAACAGGAAGCCAGGGCAGCCAGGCAAGCCTCATGCTGGGTCGAGAAAGCGGTCAAGGGGGCTTGGGTATTCACTATTTACATGCTGAAATCTGAGCTAGAAATGTTTGAGTGGCTGGGCAGCACCATCTCCTCCAGACCTGTAAGGCAGGGAAGGTTCCTCTAGACCAGCTCTGAACCAATTTTGGGAGAGTCTGGGAGAGATCTCAAGGTCTTAGACCAAATCAGAACAACTTGAAGGAGAGAGATCTAAGCCTGGTCCCAGGATAAGAACCAACGGGAATAGCGTAGGACAATAAATGGGGGGGGGGTGCATAAATAATGCAAGAAAGGACCCTAAGAGTGCACCTGTTTGCAAGATACTCTGTATCCTTAGCTCTACCCAGGAGGACTCGGATGTTCCCAGAGGAAAGGAAAATGCAATCCTACCTGCAGTGCTGAGCTCATAGCACTGCCCACTGGAATTCTGGGACTACTGGCAGTTTAATGAAGACGACAGAAACCTTGCAGTCTGGTGGCAATAGAGTTTGACAAGACGATTAAAAGCTGACCTCATGCTGGACACTGAGATCAATCTCACCACACGGAGAAACCAAGTGTGCCAGAGCAGATCTATTTTAAATGCACAAAGGATGTCAAGAAGACCTATTAATCTACCTCTGTCTCCTCTATGATTGTTGTTACCCAGAGACATGAACGTGAACAGGAAGCCCTTGGATCCAGTGCTACAAAGAGAATGAGAGAAGGAGGAACATACAGAGAAACTCGTAACAGAAGAAAGGCTTAGGGCTGAGTGTGCCGGGGGACACAGGAGCCAGAAGCCTCGGATACGACCCTACCACTGCTGCGTTTCCAGGCAGCAGAGAAAGACGCCAACGGCGAGTCTGCCCAGAGCCTGCTCCTGGGGAGGCCAGAGAGTGGGAGAGGCGTGTATTCAAGAAGCGATCTCTGACCCTGAGGTCCTGTCCAGCTAAAGATCCTGCAAGTCCCAGACCCTACCCGTCCCCTGCCCAGGATGGACATGCTACGCTGGCCTTCAGTCATGTCTCTGCCTGAACCGAGTGTCAACGAGGGTGCCACCAACTGCCACCCACAGACTATGAGTCGGAGGCTCAGGGCTCCCAGCCTGTGGAAGACGCCGGAACGGAGAAGGGCTACACCACAAGTGAACCGCAAACACCGAGACTCATTGTCTTCGAGGAGAGAGACCATCGACATAGGGCAGGGCTGTCCCACCGAGAAAGAGGCCCCATTCAGTAGCAGAGAACCCGTCTTAGGGTTTCATGCCAACAGCGGCAAAGCCATGATAAATTCCAGGTCTTGTGGCTTTGCAGACCGAGACTGCCACGACAATCTTCTTGTCGTGTAGATTACAGACCTGCACACCGTTTTTCTTCAGTATTTAGCAGCGACTTCAAATTCAAATGACTCTGATAATATCCATCATGAATATGCATCAAGCCCTTTCTTAGATAAATAATAATTACTTGGCAATTGATATGACAAAAGAGAAAAGAATTATGGTTGGAGAATGGATTTGTATTCGAGGGGAAACTTTCAGGGATGATGTGAGTCATGGAATGGCCCTGCGCTGGGGCACTCAGGCTTTGTGCTCCTGTCACCTGGCACCCCAAGGAGGAGGGGACTCTCAGGACTACCACATCACCATTAAGGAGACGAGATGAATTCTGTTACCTGACAAAGAGCAGTGATTTTCCCCCCACGTGTGAGAGGCCATTAACGGCAGTCCTTCCTTTTTCTTGCTGTTCTGGAAACACCTGCTAACGCTCCTAGCGTTAGCACTCCACGTCCTTTTGTTCCACGGTCAGAATTTTTTAAAAGGCTCACATCATTTCAGAGCCATGCCCCACTGATTCTATGCTCTCCAACCTGCAAAGGCTTCTGGTGAGCCTTGGGCCCCAGGCCCGTTCTGTGTGAGACCGTGTTGGAAGGTCTTCTCAGAACTAAGTCACAGCAGATTGGGCTCTGGGCAGGTTGCCAGCAACTTCTCAAGGTGCACATATGGGAAATGACAGCTCTGTCTGGGCGACTGCTCCACCCAAGGGTCTCAAGAAGAGTAGGCAAGAGAATCGATGGGATCAATAAGTGCTCCCCAGAGGAGTATGCTCCCTGCCATTCCAGAACACAGAAAACCTTACAGGTCAGCCTAGTCCCACACATTGAGAAGGCCAGTACATGGAGCTGCCTTCTTAGATCGCTCCCCAACCCCCAGTCCTAAAGGCTTCATTGTCCTCCTCTTCCTCCTCGCCGTCCTCTTCTACTCCCCCAGGTCCTGACCTGTCCCTCGGTCTCAGATTTCAGCCTATGAATGGTAGGAGCGATCCTGTCCGCATTGTTCCCTGATGGGCCACAGCGAAGATGAACCTCAGATGCACAAGGCCCAAGGGAGACGGGGACGATACCACCCTCCATGGAGAGAAAGCAGAAGGGATCACTGCCAGAGGCAACAAGAGACGCCGGCCGCCCCCCTCCAGAAGGCGGCAGCCGGACAAGCCTCTGGGGCTCAGACAGCACTTTCCTCCTCAGATCAAAGCCCGTCCTCCTGCGGCTCAAATATGGCACCTACGGTCATATGAGCTGGATCCCGTTATAGCAAATGCCAAGGCCAGGACACTGTCACGTCCTGCCTGGAAGCAGCAGAGTGTTGATGGAGGGTGGGGACCCATGTGATGGAGGGTGGGGACCCGTGTGATGGAGGGTGGGGACCCGTGTGATGGAGGGTGGGGACCTGTGGGAACAAGGTGAGGAGGATGCCAGGGTGGTCTTTGCACAAAGCTGTACTTTAAGGTCTTTCAAGACCAGCTGCACAAAGTCACACCTGTCCTGACTCCAGGGGCACCCGTGTCCACCCCCAAACACCAGAAAATGAGGCAGAAAGGGGAGGGTGGAGTTGGGTGCACCCTGCTCCTTGGTGAGCTCAAGTCCTTACCCAACAATGTCCAGCCAAGCCAGCCAAGCCCAACTCAGAGCAGGGGATACACGGGAAACCACAGCGTTTCCTTCCAGTTCGACTGCATCCCCCCCTCCCCCCTTCCCCAACAAGCAATGATCCAACAGCGTGAGCGATCCCTTCTGGCTCCCTAGGTTTTAAACCTGCCCCTTTCCCCTTGCTAGGGAAGGCACGTCAAGCCCATGAGAGTGGAGCCTGAGAGGTAGGGAGGAGGCGGAGGAGAACCTGGGCCACAGCCACTTGCGTCTGCTGCTGCTGCTGCTGGAGGAGCTGCTGGAGGAGCTGCATCTGGTGGTGGGAGGACAGCGGTGTCCCTGGGCCCAAGCCTGGGGGCTTTGCCGAGCAAGAGGGAAGGAGCATCCTGGGCGAGGCCGCCAGCATGGGCTCCGGGGGGTGGGGTGAAACCTGGAGGAGAAAACAAGACGGGTGTGAGCCCAGGCAGTGGCCGCTCTTTGCCACAGGGCACGGGCGCGGCTGGAGTGAAATGCTGTGTCCCCAGTGGAAATGTGGATAGGGCCCTGGGCTGGGGCCATCGGGCAGGAAACCCTGCCTGGACCCTCTGTAACTGATCCAGCATGACGGGGGCAGACGATTAGTATACTGGCTCAGGTGTCTGGACCTTGAGGGGCCGATCTCTAGGGAACCTAGTTACCCACCACCCTGTCACGAGACCGGGAAGGGGGCTCTCTCATCCAGGGCTGCCTGCTGGGCCATGAGGCTGTGTGAGGGGGGCCACTTCAGCCGGCCCTGCCTTGCAGGGAGAGCCACTGGTCCGGACAGACACTCTCTGCAGGCTGGACATGGTTTCTGTGCCCTCCCCCTCGGTCTCCCTCCCGGCAGGTGGGAAGTGTCACTAAGACAGCTTATGTGGACCAAGCGCAGGGAGAGACGGCTTGTGTGTGCGAGCTCTGCTGCTGGTCCTTCTTCAGGCATGTGGGAGGGAGGCACCCACTGACAGACGGCTCTTGCGGTTTGAGGCAGACCCGTGATGCCAAGATAATGTCAGGCAGATGACTGGGGACTGTACTGCCCTCCAGAGTAGAGACGGGCTTCTCCCAATGAGCCACCCGCTGACCTGCACCAGAAAAGGCTGACCGACGCCCACACAAGAAGGGGAGGCGGCCGGGTTGCAGGGAGTCAAAGTGGAGGCCCACTTCTCAACCTCCTCCTCCCGGCTTTTCCATTGTGTCTTCAGGTTGGAATGTGGTCTCAAGTTCTCAGTATCGTCTGGATTCTATTAAGAACTCCCTGGGAGCCCAGTCATCTCAGCCAGAAGACGGGAGGTTGGAGCTGATGATGCCTGGGTTTCTAACCCCCAAGGGGCCAAGTGCCAGCCTCAGCCCCCATGCATGGGAGTGCCCCGGCAGTCGCTAGCTGAAGGCAGAGGGAGCCTGGGCCCACTCTGCCCTGGCAGCTGAGCCTCGGAGATCGGTTGTGGTGCGTGAGGATGAGCTCTGCACAGGCACTGAGTGGCGACAAGGAGCCACGGAGGGCAGGACCTCCACAGAGCACCATCAGGGAGCACTGCGGGGCCTCTGGAGGGTGACGCTCATCAGGCATAACCCTGCGGTGTCCTGACACACAGCTGGGCCCAGCGTCGGCACACTGGGCTGCTCTCACAGGATAGGGAAGCTGCTCTGGTGCCCCACCCCCCGCCCCTCACTCTGAAGCTGACCCTGCACGGGCGAGGACGTGACTCTGACAGTGGCCAAGGCCTCTGTCTGTGCTGCTCCAGGAGGTCGTGTGCATGCAGACTGTGTGATGGGTCACCTCCCACCTACCTTTGGGTCCTGGTGGGAGCCTCCTTCCTTCCCCACCGCGTCAAGGTCAGTCACACCTCGGCTGAATTCCAGGATGTCATTCCCCGGGAGCGGGACCTCCACTGCGTCAATGTCCGTCTCCTCTGCGGTGGCCGAGGAGGCTCTCTCGGCTCCAGGGAGCTGGTGGCCTGCGGGATGACAGAGGGAAGGGCAGGGCAGGGCGCTGCCAAGAACACGGTCTTCCTCCCTTCCTAGCATGTCACATTCATTCCCAGCCCAGCCAGATGTTCCCATTTAATCTTTTCAGAGGCCAGAAGCAAAAATGATGTTTCCTTGAGGCTGGACATGACTGCTTTGCCAGGTTGGCATAAGGTCGATATGGTTGGGGTGCGGGGTCGCGACAAGAGAGGGGGTGACTGTCACCTCGACCTCCTCTGAGCTCAGGAGTGGAATCCACCCAGGGAAAGACTCCAGAGCCATGGGGAGCTCCCTGGCCATGACCCTGGTGGGCTGTCAGACCAGGGGTAACGGACCCCACTCCCAGTGCCCCAGCTCCAATGGCAAAATCAGAGGCTGAGTTAGATGGACAAGGAGGGGTATGTGATAGAAGAATGAGGGTGAGGAGACCTGAGGCCCCGTCTGAGACAGGAACAGCCCCCCAACCCCTCTGAGTGGAGCTAGACTCTGACCTTGTGACCAAGCGCAGAAGTCAGGCAAGGGGCCTTCAGGAGGCAGCAGTGGGGGGACAGAGGGGGTGGCCGGGTTTCAAGCCTTCTCCAGTCTGTCCACACTCCACTGTTCACCTCCCCACTGAAGACAGCGGCTGTGCGCCGCATATGTGTGAAAGTCCTGCTATTTCTTTTCCTTCAGTCCCTGTTCCTAGTTCTTGATTCTATAAAAACCTGGCCATTCCTGGGCCGTTCCTGGAAGCATTTTTCTTTCTCTACATTTGGAATTAGGCTCACTGCTACTGTACACAAATAAGATTTCTTAAAAGATTTCAGGGACCAAGCACCACGCGAAAAATGGAAGAGGTTAGCGTCAGTAGGAAATATGGAGAGCCAGCTACTCCCTGAGCAGCCAGGCCTCGGTCATCAGAGGGCCTGCCTTATAGAACAAATAGGTTTTGTTTTGTTTTTTGGTCTTTTTAATATTTATCTACGTAATCTCTATACCCGACATGGGTCTTGAACACCACCCCAAGATCAAAAGTTGGATCTCTACCAAGCGAGCCAGCCAGGTGCCCCTAGAACAAACTGTTCTAGCAGGTCTTCCTCCGCAAACTCATGTGAGTCATCTGGGGAAGCAAGTCTGGTATTCAGAATGCCAATGGGGTGCTTGGTTTCCCTCCCGGCTGCTCCGGGACCTGGGACACAGCCGCAGACCATGGCCTGGCAGAGCAGCTCTGCTCCTCTGTGAGCCAGCGGGCAGGAACCCAGGGCAGGCTGCATCCCTCCACACCCCTGCGCCCAGAAGTGACCTTCCTGATGGTTGGGAGGGCTAGCCCGTGAGACAGAGGGCTGACGGAGAACTCGTGGTCATTTCTCAGCAGGTGGATGGGCTTGGTTCTCTGTGCCAGTGTGGAGATGAACAGGGTGAAATGCCCGTGTTTTGAGCAGAAATGATTCCCCCTAGTCCCCAGGAGAGGCTCAGTCCCACGGCACCACATATCCATCTGTCGGCACACTTAGCACCTGGGATCAGGCATGCCTGGCCTTCTAGTTCACCTTTCAACACCCCTTAGTCTTGAGGCCGGGGCTGGGTCTCATTCATGTTTCCCAGGGATCTGGCATGGGGAAGGTATTCAGTAAACACTAACAAAGGAACTAGTGTCATGACAGGATAGCAAAACAGGGGAGCGGGCTACAGAAGAAGGCTGCCCCTCCCCAGCCCCCACCAGCTCCCCATTCCTGGAATCCCCAATACCAAGGGTACAAAGTGTGTGGAAATGCCCAGCCAGAAGCCTGGAGGGATCGGAAACTCTCCTGGGTTCTCACTCTGCTTCTGAGGGACTCACAGACTTCTCAGCCATTCTGTTTGTACTAGTGGGGTTCCCACACCAAGCCTGGGGAAGGGGGTCCCAAGCCACGGGACCCGCTTACTGTAGGATTTCCTGCCACTGCCTGGGCTCTCTGACAATCACATCTGAAGTCCTGAGCTTGGATAATGGCTGACGGGTGGAGGCCAGGATGGTAATAGACCTGTTAGAACCAGGACGGTAAAGCTGGGGGTAGACAGAATGTTCTGGATGCCATGCCTGTTAGCATGCCAGATAAGGCAAATCAAGAGGGTGGACCCACAGCCAGTGGTCTTCCTTAGGTCCTGACAGACAAGTAGGGGGGGATATCTCATATTTGCAACTCTCCCAGCATCAGGAAGCTTAAAGGACAAGAAACGCTATGCAAAACCTTCTAGCAAAACTGGGACACTTACAAGATTGGGCACTCTGGATTCCCACATGTAAGAGGGAAAAGTAAGACTGTACTTGGCGGGAGGTCAGGGGAGGGTAATGTTGCTTTCTGAACTGCTTCTTTAAACTACTTCTACTTGATGCAATGAATTATAACTAGGAACTACAGAACATATGCTGATTTCATTTACTTCAGTAAGTATGTGTAAAACCCCTGTATAGAACAGAAAGGCACTGGGCATCAGAATAAGTGAGCAAAAAGATGTATTTTCAAGGTTTCCCCAGCCTGATGGAGGAAACAGACAGATACCAAGGTGGCAGCAGGAGGCTGTGTCCCCTTGGAGCTCTCCTGAGTGCAGAGTCGGAGCTGGGGGGGGGGGTGGCGGCGGCGGTGCTAGAGAAGCCCATGCAGAGGCGTCCCAGCGGGGGGCAAAGATACAGAGGTATTGACTGCCAATGGCTCTGTACGGCAGGACCCAACGGGGAAGAGTCGGGATTTTGTCTGCAAGGACTGAAAGCAGGTGAGTAATACTGAAGGGTTTTCATCCTTTCACATTTCACCCTAGAGATGATGTGGAGGGCAGATCTAGAAGGGACAACACAGAAAGCAACACTCCAGGGGAGACACAGGAGGGCTTACGTGAAGGGGGTCACGGTAGCACAGGAGAACAGATATAAAAGGTTTTCAGGGGGCAGAAATTACAGGACAGGGTGACAGACTAACTGTGGTGGGGGGAGAAAAAGGGGTGGGAATACGGAAAGATGGAGGAAGGGAGAGAGGGATATGGGTAAAATGAGTTTTGAAATTTCTGATTTAGGTGACCTGGTAGGGACTGGTGCCCTTTAGGGCAATTTCAGGAAGAGCAGGGCTGTGGGTAAGATGGAATTTCAGACCTACTGGAATCACAAGGTCTCTCTTCAAGAGCCAAGTGGAGATACCCATCAGCTGTTGGAGAATTCAGGAAAAAGGTCTGGTCTGGAAATAAACACCAGTCGAACACATGGGAAGTCAGGAGAGAGCAGCAGGGACTGAGCCCAGGAGAAACGTAAAGGATGCTGGAAAGCAAGTGGCAGATAAAAAAAAGAAAGGTTGTACCCAGAAAGTCCAGAAAGGCTGGTTTGGTTTGCTAGCTAGGGGCCCTCGGTGACCTTGACCGATAGTCCCAGGAAGGGCTGACAGGGAGCAGACACTGCATCGTGGGAGTTGAAGGGCTAGCAGCCAGGATGGGGCGACAAGGAAGAAGCTGTATGAGTGCAGATAAATCTGGCAAGAAGCGGAACCATGAGAGAAAGAACTAAGGCAGGGGAGATGCGGGGGCAAGGCCGGCTGGCGTGGGTTTGTTTTGACGATGAGAACGGCTTGACCTTATCTGTGTGCAGTGGGCAAGAGGTCAGTGTTAGCAGAAGACCCAGGTGACCACTTGGGAGAGATGGCACTGGTGGCCTGGTGCTCAGGAGAAGGTGAAGGTTCATTTTGGGCAGGGGGAGGACACCGGCCACGGGGCGGAAGCTGGACACAAGCAGCAGGACTGGCCGAGCCGGGTGGCCCCGGGGAGCGTAAGGGGTGGGACCTGTGGAAGGCCGGTTTCCCGGGCACAGCCCGGCATCGGGGCTCAACGGAAAGGCGTCGCTGGGTCGATGCAGAACTTGTTACGTGTCAAAGATATGGTAATAAAAGGGTTTCAAAAAAGAACAGGAGCTTATCGGTTCGGTCGGGAATGCTAGAAACGGCCACTGTGGGGCCTCAAAACTGCTCTGGACACTTGCTTAAATTTAAACAGCATCACTACTTCCTGGGCACTGATTTAAGGGTTTTACTCGTATAAATCATTTATCAGAACTGCCCTCAGAGGCAGGCACTGACAGATAAACTGAGGCACAGAGCTGGGAAGGCGGGTGCCGGGGCTCCAGGCCTGGGGCTCTGAAGCCGGGTGCTATCACCCTGATCCCCCCACCCCCGCCACGGGCTGGTTGCTTCCACCCGCAGCAGCCCCCCCCGGCCCCCTGACCCCCCTTCAATGCTTCACAGACACACTCCCAGATGGTCTGGTGTATCTGTCACGGGTTTGTACTGCAACCCCAACTTTGAAGGCCAGCTCCTCGCCCCTGGGGACCCGTCCTGCTGTTCACAGTTTATCCCCAGAATCGAGCCTGGCACCTCGGGGCGGGGTGGGGGGGTGGGGGGGTAGGGATGAGAGAAATGCCTGTTGAATGGAGGAGGATGTTAAAACCAAGGAGAAACAGAGGGTCGGGCTGCAGTCGCCGGGGCTGGAGGAGCCGGGGAGGCAGGGGAGCAGACGGGACCGGCCCAAGCAGCAGATGACACAGGTGCGCGGTGAACATCACCCCGCCCGCTGCTCACTGTCTAGATGGTCAGAGCTTTCTTTTCAGGAAGTTCTATTCTTCCCAAGGATTCCAAGCCCTTCCCCCCGTGGGATGGCTGCCGGGGGAGAAGGGTGCCTCCAAGGGAACGGGATCTCTCCCAGGAAACCCTCTCCAGGAGCCAAAGAAACCACACAAGGCAGAGCAAGGCAGGCGGAACGGGAGCCGAGGCCCCACCTGGCTCCGAGCCCCAGGGACGGGCCCAAGGCAGCCGCTGCCAGAAGATACAAAAGATAAATCTCCCCGAGGGTAGGGAACGGTGGAAAGAATGAGGGAGGAAAGAAAGGCAGGCACAGAGGGAACGGGGCTGGCAGCACACGCAGAGAAGGTCAATGCCATCTCGAAAGCGTTGCTGAAACCAGAAGGCGAGGGGTGGACGAGACATCAAAGGCAGCGCAACCCAGCGCCGTCCAAGTCCTCGGAGTAAACAGGTCGGCCCTGCACAGTCACGGGCCTGTCGTCGGGTCACGTGGGGCGACCCCGGCGGGGCGGGGGTGGGGGAAGGGGGAGATAAACCTGAGGTAAATGGAAAGCTCCCGAACATGGATGCGAGGTGCTCATAACAAAACACACACACACCAACCAACCGCTCTACCCTGCTGTTTCAGGGTGCCTCATTACAAGCGAAGACCCCACTGCAGTCAATAAATGCTTCTGGGGGAGGCATTACGGACGGAAGAGACGTGCTCCTAGTGGTTTACAGCCCATCAGCAAGCAGGAGGGGCCGAAAAGAGCACGGGACTATGGGGCCGGGCAGTAAGCAGCTCTCCCGGGGGAAGGAAGGTTTTCCATTCCAGATCTGCGGCATCCCGAACGGTGCTCTAAGTAGACGTACCCTTCGTGGTAAAGGCTACAATCGGAGGGGACCATAATTTGTCACTAAACTCAGACCTGCCCCAAGACCATGGGACTCAAGAGATCCTCCTGCCTCCTTCCCGCACTGTGTAATGGGGGAGGTCACACATTTCCGACTCAGAGCCACAGAACTAGCTACTGTGTAACATGTCTTTCGAGTACCATACAGTTGGCCCTTGAGCAACATGGGAATTAGGGGACCGACCACCCCATGCGGGTGAAAATCCACGTGTAACTTCTGATGCCCCCAAAACGTGACTAAGAGCCCGCCGTTGTTAATAACCGTATCAGTAATAGTCAACCAACACATATTTCGTGGGCTAGAGGTAACACACCATAATCTTAGAATAAGAAAGTTGGAGAAAAGGAAATGTTATTAAGAATGATGGTGGTTGGGACGCCTGGGTGGCTCAGTTGGTTAAGCAGCTGCCTTCGGCTCAGGTCATGATCCCAGCGTCCTGGGATCGAGTCCCACATCGGGCTCCTTGCTCGGTGGGGAGCCCGCTTCTCCCTCTGCCTCTGCCTGCCACTCTGTCTGCCTGTGCTCGCTCTCTCTCCCTCTCTCTCTGACAAATAAAAATCTTTAAAAAAAAAAAAAAAGAATGATGGTGGTTGGGGCGGTTGGCAGGTGGGCTCGCGGGAGTAGGACCTCGGGGCAAGACCGCAGGCTGAGCAGAGAGCTGTGGGTTGAGACCAACGTGACTGTGCTCCTCCAGCTGTAGTGGATGGCCAGTGCTGAAATAACGGGCCCGCCAGCCATGCCACCCCTCCCCTTATTACCTTCTCAGTGAGCATTTTCTCAAGTAACATTAATATACATAAGACCTCAGCTACCTGGCTTCTCCTGCAATCCCTCTCCCCAAGATGTAATGTAAATGATTCCCTACATAGAGAAACACCTGGTCTAATACAGTTTCTTCCAAGTTTAAGAGGTCAAACACCTGAGAGTACATCCTTAAGGAGGTCCAGCATGGATAGGATGTCTGTGTAACCGACTGGCATCCCTGCAGAGCAGGCCATGTGACAGGGCCTCTCCCCTCCTCGTGTAAATGAGGATACAGCCCTGCAGAGTGATGGAAACTGTATCAGGGAAATACACATAAACATACTGATTTTAAGGAACTGACTCATGGGACTGTGGAGACGTGACAAGTCCAAAATCTGTAGGGCAAGCTCAAGACCCAGGGAAGGGTTGCAGTCCAAGACCAAAGGCCATCTGCTGGCAGAATTCCCCTTTTGCTCTATTAAGGTCTTCAACTGATTTGTTAGACCTCTGAGGTCTACACTGAGGGTGTTCCGCTGTACTCAAAGCCTCCTGATTTAAATGTTAGTCTCTGGGCACCGGGGCAGCTCAGTCAGTTGGGTGTCTGACTTCAGGTCAGGTTATGGTCTCAGGGTCCTAGGATCGAGCCCCACCATCTGGCTCTGCTCAGCAGGAAGCCTGCTTCTCCATTTCACTCTCCCTCTGTGCTCTCCCTCACTCCCTCCCCCACCCTCAAATAAATAAATAAAGTCTTTAAAATAAATGTTAATCTCATCTGGAAAATAGCTTCCCAGCAACATCTAGAATAACATCATATGTTGGATGTGCTGGGGTCTATTCCGACCCATTCAGGGACACATTCATGCCTCGGTATTTCTAGCTAGTGTAGCTTTATGTCTTCATGTCTGCACAGCCACTCATCTGTCATTGCTCATTTTTCCAGGAATTTTTCTATTCTTTCTTGTTTATTTTTCCATATTTCTGTTAAAATAATAACAGCTAATATGTATCTGGTGTTTACTATGAACCAAGTGTTTCACAAGTATCTGCTCATCTGTGGTCACAATAATCCTATGAGATGGACACAACTTTATTCCCGTTTTCTTCCAAAAAGGGAACTAGGACCCAGAGAGGTTATTAACTTGCCCCAGATCACACAGCAGGGGCCTGGTGCTGCCAGAATTAAAACCAATCATCTGCATTCTCGAGCCCTTTGCAGTGTGAGCTTTTACTTTGTTGTTTTCTGACCTCCTGAGTTGATACTTCACTAATTTGATTTTCACGATTGGTTATCTGTTAACGTAAACAGTCGAAACTTTGGATTTTCCTCTGCACACCACATTATCTGTGTCCCCCAGGTTCTGAATATAGTAGCTTTCCATTGTGCCCCTCATGCTGTCAGAAATTAGCATTGTTTTGTTAAAGCAGGAGATGAACAGGAGAATTCGTATTTTTATAAAAGACACGCAGGTTTCCTGACTTCCGATGAGACTCCAAAGTGAGAGGTACTGAAAATATGTCCACATCGAAGGTTTACAGCACTACAGAACTTAGAAAACAGGGAAAGAGCTATTAAGGTCACTATAAACTTTATCTTCTTTCTGATTTGTTTCACAAATATGCTTTTGTACCGGAGTTACTTGGGGGTCGGATTTTTGGCATCAGCCGCTTAAATGCTTCCTTGTTCGATAAACATCTGTAATTTTCTATTAGGAAAGCCACACGTGCTTCCATAAGGAAGGTTTGGAATCCAGAGAGAGAAAGAAACACTAACTTCTTTTTTGAAGTGGACTGATTGCCTGGGCCCTGGTGGAGGGAGGCGCGGCCCCATACTGGGTGTCCCCCAATCCGTCCACCCACGCTCACCGCAGCCACCTGCCGGGTGCCTACCTGGGTCCCCTGAGCTGCTGCTGTTCCTCTCGCTCTCTCCGTCCTCCTGGCCGTCTGCGTTCTGCTGCGTGTGCTGGAGGCTCAACTTATGGCAGACCTCGAAAGCCTGCCCGACCGTCCGCACGATTCGCATAGCCTGGCTCTGGGAAGGAGAAAGGAGAAGAAAAGAGCAAGTGAAGGGCGTGGAGACTCTCTGCAAGGACACAAGAAAGGCCAGGGATGGGAGAGGACGTGCCAGGACCTCGCATACAGAAACCCACAAAAGAGATGGAAAGTGATGTCCATGCTGACCAAGAGGAGTGCGAAGCCAGTTTTCTTCTTGAAATGGCCCAGAAAATAGACACTCACCAGGGTTCCATAACAGTAAGTCAACTGGAAGGACAGACACCAAACACCCCCGTTCTGGACTTAGCCCAATTCCTCCTCCCGGGTTTAACAAAAGTGGTCAAGATCTTTCTGACGCCTTCGCCAAGCATAATCACACTTTCAGTGGGTTTGCCACACGACGGGCAACTCAGCGGTCACTTCTTCCCTCCTGGGACTGGTGAGTCTGGGCTGAGGGGATGTTCAACTACTTCTTTTAACAGCCCAAGGACAGAGCTTGACTCTAGCTCTCCTTAACTTGGAGGAGGAGGAGGAGATGGGACAAGGGAGTCTCGTCCCCTACAGTCTCAAGGGACCCACGCAGGCTCCCAGGAAGAGCCCCCAGCATGGTTTCCAGGGCCTGGCCTCCGGAGGGGACAGCTGACCAAGCACATTATCAGTCCGTTTTCACCTTCCTCCCAAGACGGAGTCTGGTGCAAGCTACAGGCTGGGTGAGCTCAGCTCACTGCTCCTTGTCCGTGGGGGTCCCCAAACGTCCCACCGCCACAGCAGTTTAGTTAACCGTGGCTGTCCCCCCTACGCCCATGTCTGAGATTCGTCACATTCTGACTGATCAGACCCCAGGTCAGCTGCGCCTACCGGGACAAGCTCCAGTCATTCGAGAATCTGTTGCTAAAAATCTCAGGTTCTCCTGGGGAGGACAGGGGACCAATTTCACCACCCCTGGGAGCCACAGACACACTCCTTAACTGGCTTTGGGGATGATGTTAGAAGCTGGCAAGTCCTCACACACGTGCCCCTGAACCTACAGGATTAGACAGGGGCTGGGCCAGGACTCCTCACCTTCTCTTCGAAGGGGAGCGCTCGGAGTTCAATCCAGTGGGAACCCGCTCTTCTGAGGACCTGCGTTTCTCACGCATCCCAGCCGGACGACTGAGCACACTCAGGACTGACCTCTGAAGAGCCCAGACTGTGGCCCACATCTCTGCCCCCTTTATCAGGGACAAACGTCCAGAACATACCCTCCCGGTGCAAGCACTGACAAGCCCGGGGTGGCCAGAAGAAAGTGGGCTCAGTCCCCCTTGTGCCTCGTGCTCACACGTTAGTTCGCTCACCATCAGCAGCCGAGGACCCTCACCTAGGTTCCCCGAAGAGGCAGAAAATGCGGACTATGGGTTCCCCGGTACCACCATCCCTGTGTCGCAAATGGTTCCCCGCCTCCTCTCCTCAGGTCCCCGCTCCTTCTGACCCGCCCTTCGTGACAGCTGTTCTGTGTGCGCCTCTGTGACGTCACCCAAAGGGCTGAATTGGCGCCGTCTACGACCTCCCCTCCCCCGCCCAGAGGGGTCTGTGTATGACTAAGGTGCGTGACAGTGCGTCCTGCAGTGCTCGGCTCAGCCTCAGGGCTCATGAACGGGGTCTGGGGCCGAGAGGCAATTAAGACAGAGAATAAATAGGAAAGGCTGCACTGACTCTATCACAACAGAAACAGAGATGTTAAGAGAGTTGCCTCTTACTACACAGGTGAGCACCAAAAGTAAAAGGCGAAACCGCCCCTGGCCCACAGCGCGTAATAGGGGAGAAGTGACGGGCCGGATGATCTTTGGTCTGCACCTGTGTGATGGTTTCCACCACCAGGAAATTGTCGGATTCGAGTTCTAGATGTGCACACTCACGGCTAAACGGCTTCCTTCGATTTGTGCTAATGGAGTCACATTTCCACTCACAGTGAAAGGACCCGGTGGCACGTTCCACGAAGAGCCCTCGAACTTGAACACGGAGTCAAGCTACCCGGCTGCCTGCTTTACAGGTGGAGAGAGACATGTAAGAGCACGGGGCTCCGTTCTCACCACTCCAGGAGCTGCGAGACGCTGGATGGCTCCCAGTTCTCAGAAATGGCTGTGTGAGTTCTGGTGCCCACTGACCTCTCAGGCTTACCTCCCCTCCCCAGTGGGAAGTCTACTGTTAGGTGATTCCCATTTAAGGACCGCACTAGAGGAAGTTACTGGAAGGAGGCTTGGAGAGCCAACCTGTGCCAGGCAGGGCCTGTCCCTCCCTCCGCTGGTGCCATCTGCTCTCTGCACAGCCATGCTGCTTCCTATCTGCTGGGCCTGCCCCAGCCAGGGACTGGGCCTTCTGGCCTTCCAAGCAAGAAAGCTGGTTCTGCCTGCCACCGCCGAGGAATGTAGTACTCACATGTGCTAAGACTTACTAGTTAGTATGCCATGCCTAAGCCCACGAGGGAGGACTCTCACTAAAAGCAGCTTTCAAAAGAACCTCTCCATAGGTCCCCATGGGCCACAAGCAGTTGCTCACATTTCATGACCACAAACAGGCCTTCAGACATCAAAGTGGAGATGTAAGGGAAGATGTAAGGGAAGGCAGCCAGGCATAGAGCAGGACGCATGAGTGGCCTGCTGGGAAGGCAGTCTTCCCCAGTTCCAGAATCTGGCCCTTCTCTGGAATTTGCTAGATTTCTACAAAGTGTCACTTTGCCACATTTTTTTCTGGACAAATCCTGGTTGGTCTCACAAGTCCCCTGAAAGTGCTGGGCCACATGGATACAATCTTCCTGTCCAAAAGCCACTTTCCATCAGCAGCCCCAAAGCATTTGTGGGCTGTGAGTTGTCAAGACTAGGCCGGCAGTGGTCACTTTGATGTTTTTCAAAGCTGGGAAGGAATATCTAACCTCGGAGTGGCTCTCGGCCACAGACGGGGAGCATGGCAGCTCAGGAGAGTGCCGATTACAGGCAACTTAGTGAAACAGGTCTGGAAAGTCTTACAACTTGGTGCTACTTACTCTCTAGACACACAGAAATGCTTCTTTAAACCATTCCACTTATTCACGCCGACAAAGCCTCCATCCTCCTCCCCACCCCCAGGCCATCTGTCTGTCCAGCACAGGGATCAAGACACAACCAAAGGCTGTCCTCTTTAGTGTGCCTACTGGGGCTGCCAACAACACGCCTAATGGGTGTCAGTATCCGGGGAACTGCAGCAGCCACCAGGAACTAAGGCCACATTCTCTGTGACAGTGGCGGTGACTCAAAGACACACAAGAGCCCGCAGTGGTGGCTTCAGGAAGACAGAAATCAAAAGGTTGATGCCCCCGTACTTGGCTGATCCAGGGAAAAAGTATAGCCTGTCATGATTTTAGCTTCTCTTCCCTGTTGTTGGTTGGCCCTGTTGACATGGGGAATCTTCCGAGTGTGACACACGCGTGAAGATTGGTATCTATTTGTCTGATTCTGCAGCTGACTTAATGAATGACCTTGGGCACTGCTCTGCTTTTCACTGTCCTGGAAGAAGGTGTATTTCACAATCTGGAGATGATGAAATGAGTCCTCGGGTAAGCAAGGAAAGGGAGGAGCAGGTGCTCATCATGGATACGAAGATGGCAAAGGCAACAGTAAGAAGGGAGAGACGTGGGGCACACTCCTCCTTAGTCTACAGCTCTTTCTTCTCCACTCTTATCTACTGCCCCCGCCCCCCACACTTGAGACCTGTCTGCCACGTGCTTCTGAATTCTAGGGGACTGAAGTCCAATAAGTCAGTTCCAGAATGGCCCCTGGGTCATGATTCTTCTCATCTATCGCAGCAATAAAGTCCAATTCCCTTACCTTGACCTGAACTACCACAGAGTCTGAACAGCAACAAAAAAATAGAACTGAAGATCATGATTCTTTAATGTGCTTTTTTTTTAACTGTAGTAAAAGATTTAAGCTTATATCTATCAAATGATTGCAGTGTACAGAATTCACAATGCTGAAGCAAAAAAAATATATTTGGACTTCAACACAGAGAAAGATCCAAGGTAAGAAGGCTCTGAAATGGGAGATGGGTGAGGATTCTGTCCAACAGGTTATGGAATGGACTTGATCTATAATTTGATTGAGGCAGTGCCTGGGACACCAGAATATTGCTCGCTATGGGGAAAGTTTGGTTTCAAAGTGAGTATGAGTTTTGACATCGATAGGACATAGGAGATCTTAAAATTTCCAGTACACTGCTGGGTTCTTCCTTGTACTCTGCTAGTCCATGAACCATAGGACCATAGAGGAAAGAAGGCTGGGTTATAACCTCGCTACTGGCACTCACCACCCAGGTGACCAGGAGCAAGTTGACTCACCTTTCCAGGTGCCGAGTTCCTCATCCATAAACAGAGAGGTGTGGACCAGATGAGTTCTGAAACCTGTGGTTTCTCTATTTTGACTTCCCAACTCCATCCCACCACCCCAGCATTTAAGACACACAAAAACGTGCTCTTTCCCTGAGTGTCAGACTTCCCTCTCCTTCATCCTAAACTTGGTGGCGCAAGTGACTTACTGTTTAGCCCATGACTGTCATCATCGCTCCAAGTCTATCACAAGCGATCAAGGACAGACTGTGAGACTTCTCAGCAGTGGGCCCTCGTCTGACGGTGACAGCATTACAGGAGGAAATCATTTCTCCTAACCCAAACCGGCTGAGCTGTGATAGCAGGCAAAATGATTTCAAGGAGCTGCCCGCAAAGAGAACGGAGCTTCCTACAGCTTCTGTTAATCACCAACACTTCACGTACTGTACTATTAAGTACAGTCACACTTAATCAGGGCTGACAGCCTCATCCTCCTGGGGGCAGGAGGAAAAGACAGGAGGGCGACAGCCACTGCACAGGAGAGGTCAAGAGACCACGCAGGAGGCAAGAGGCCTTGCACATGAATACTAGCATCGAACGCTCCAGAGGGGGGAAGGAGGATGCCGTGGTCATTAGGAAACATCTCCACCAGATGCTCTGGCAAGGAGAAGCCCCGCTCCCAGCCTTCCTTTCTTGCAGAAGCCTCAATGACACGGGGACAGACACCCCCTCTGCAGACACACGTCCACCAACCATCCTGGCAATCCTTCCCAGTCACACAGAACTTGTTCCTGATGATCGGATATTTCCACACACAACCACCGGCATTCCTGAGATGCCTCTCATCGCACTTCGTTGGGGGAGGAGTTCACATTCCTTTTACGAGTTTCACGGAACACAGGTTGGTTGGAGCTCGGGGTGAGGAGGCGGGAGGCCCGGTTCTAGCGTCAGCGGCGCTGTTGACTCACTGTGCGACCAATGGCAACCTACTTCCCTGGGCCCTTTCCTTCCCCAACTATATGATGGAGTCAGTACCTACCCCACAAAGACAGTGAGAGGAAAAAAAGGGAAATCTATGTCAGAGTGCCTTGGGTCATTCAGAGTTAAGGAGCTCTCCGTACACAAATGACAAGGGCAGGAGAATCTCACTGCAAACAGGTCTTGGAGAACAAGGCTACTCCTTGTTCTGCAACTTCCTGATGGAAAACAGTAAAATGGAGTGGTTAAGAGTCAGATTCTCTGGGCTCAGTCCCACTTGTTATGACTTATGCCCCTTAAGCTCCTGTTTTCCCATCTGGAAAATGAAGAGTGGACAAGTGCCTATCTCACACACCTGCCGCAGGAATGACGTAAGAGAACTTACATATAGAGAGTTTAGAAGAGTCACAGGCATAGCAGGTAAACAAAACAGATGACTTCCTTCTAAGCCAGAACCTGAGTGATCTGGGGTCCTAGGGTGACCAGCAGGTGCTAGGCTGGCTTGCCACAGTCTTCTGCTGTCTGGCTCCTGACAAGAACCCAAGAGGAGAACCACGCTGGCCATATGCGTGAGCAACCTGCACAAGGATCCCCAGATCCAGAATCACGGTTGTGTGGGGGCGCAGATGGGGGCCTCCAACAAGACAGCAGAGACGCCTCACCCCTGTTCTCAACCCACAGGAGAGACAGCTCTGCTCCCCAGGGTGAACAGGAATCACATGAGGAGACTGTCCGGGCCCTGGGTGCCCACACTGGGGCCATGGTGTGATCCAAACAGTGATACCCCAAGCCCTTGACACAGTAAGGAGCTCATCAGTGGGTTTTCTACACTGTGATCAACACAAAGGCTCTGGAGAACAGCCAGGTCTGCTGACTGCCAGTCAAGAGATCTCCCGATCGACCTCCAATGCTCTGAAAACATCCCTGCAAGACACGTCTCCTGAGGGCATGGAGTCCCTGCACCCCCGCCACCCCCTAAGTTCCTATGACTGGCCAATTAAAACTCTCACCCAAACTAACTATTACCTCCCCAGGCCAGAGGCGCTTTACAAAACCACAAATCACCGTCCCCAGAGGCTCACCGGGATAAGCATGCAAAACCTTGCAGGTGGGTCCCCCGCGCACCCGTCTGCGGGCTTCCCTGCACAACTCACTTCTCCTCACTGGCTCTTCCACGCACACTTGGGCAGCAGCGCGCCCCACAGGCTGGGGACAGCATTCTTCCAGCTGCGTGGCTGCAGGCCAGCAAGGGGCCTGAGAACCCACTCCTCTGAGAGTAACAACCTCAGGAGCTAAGGGAAAAAGGGCCATGGGAAATAGAAGAGCCAGATCCGAATGAGGCCCGAGAGCTTGGAGACACGGGAAAAGCTGAGCTGAGAGGGAGCCGGGCTACCACTGCTTGTCACTGGGTAATAAGAACTTAATTCCATGCTTCGCTTCAAGGTCAAAGTCCCAGTAGGCCCTGCTCCCCGAATCAGGTTTTGGCAGAAACGGGACGACCCCACTGTGTTTGTGCCACTCTGCTAGATCTGATGGTAAAGCAAACAGAAGGAATGATACCCTTACCCTAGGTTTCCCTGCTCAAAATTCTTCCATTCTGACTCCGGCCAGTGCCTCTTCAGGCGACCACGGGCAAGTCACTGCATCTCTCTGAGCTTCCGTTTAGTCATCGGGGAAATGGGGGTGAAAACTACCTGACTTAACTTCTTCACAGAGGATTTAGAAGAATCAAACAAGGTTAGATATTAAAGTACTTGGTAAATTATAACATGCCGTGTGTAGCTCTAATAAATCCCAAGGCCCACGTGGTCCAGTCTCTAGACAAAATGGAAGTCGGATGGACAGTGGGGCATTCAAAATGAATTAAAAGGGATCGTAGTCTTTAGCTGCACCTGTCAAAGCACATTATGGAGGAGCCAATTCTTAATTCTCAGGAACACTGCATATCCCAGATCCCTTATACCTCCAAACTATAGAAGAGCCATTTACCCTCCCAAGCCCCCCGTGCTTGTCCGCCGCCCCCCTGGCTTCTCTCTGCCCCCCTCTCCCTCCTCTTCCTACCAGTTCTTCAATACGCAGCTTGACTCGGCCCCACTTACACACTCTCCCTCCACTGTACCATCATCTAGAAGTCTGGCAACTTGCGCATTTTCCTTCCACCTCTCCAGTTCTAGGTCCTTCTATCCAAATTCCATGATCTGCATTAAAAAGCCTGGGAACAGATGGCCAAGGGCACCAATCTCCTTAGAGGAAGAAGGTAAATTAGTAAAGCACGGGGGACAGGTCGGGGACTGGACACACACATTAGTGAATCACGGCCCTGTCACGTATTATCCTGATTGGGCCTACTTGACACAGTCCCTACAAATCCATTAAAGATGCTTTATAGTCTACGAAGTCATACAGCATCAAAGAAGGGGTCCCCAGGAAGGGATTTGGAAGTTGTCCTCACAGAAAGCCATGCTCTGTGCTTTGTGGCCAGACCAGCAGACGTGTAAGGAATCTTAGAGGCATAAAGAAAGTGTTTTCTAAAATCCCCTCTGCAGAAAAACAGCTCCTAGGAGATTACACAGATTACAAGGCAAAAACATGATCCCGTGGCCAAATCAGTTTTGTGAGATGCTGGGTTAAACAGAGTTAAGGAGTTTCTCGAACTTTAGGACTTCCCAGCAAATTCAAAGAGGATAATTTTGACATGGAACATTTTGGGTGGTAAACATTTTCCAGGAGACGTTGTGGGAAACTCTGCTTTTGACTCACCTCCTTGTTTTATAGACAAGGAAGCGGAGACCCATAGGGGATAGTGCCCCACATAACATCTCTCAGGGCTCTAGTAGAGAGGAGGGGCTAGACCCCAGGTTTCTAACTCCTGTTTTGTGTTAAATTCTGGAGAAAAGATAGAAAAAGCATCTACCAAATTGCCAAAGTTGCCTTTACTCAAGCATCAAGGTTACAACCCCAAAATAACCACCCAGGACAGCCAACCTCGCACACAGAGTCTCCACTTGCCTCCACATGTCATGACTTGTAGACCCCTGATCGATATTCAGAATATGATGGAAGGTCACTTAAGTCAACGCCATGCTTCCTGCCTACCACACTTCTGGTGCGATCCACCTGTCCTGTTCCAGAGCCCTTACCATTGGCCCAAGAATGTTCGAGATGTCCGTGTGTCACGGAGTACAAAGCTGAGATGAAACTGAAGGGGAAGTTCATTACACAGGGACACGGACAGACTGCTCAGAGGGCTTGTGCATGTCACGCATGCAGAGCCACCTCGAATCTTGCCTCTCCGACAACAGGGGAGGGGTCAGCACTGGGGAGGGAGGTTATTCTGGTTCTGTCAGAGGAAAATAAAAAATTACCAAAGATGGCCCATTTACCTTCTTCTTGGATTTAAAGACGTTACACCTGAAAATGTTGCTGGCACCGTCTCGGGCGATATAGCTGAAGATCTTCAGGTCCTGGGAATCATGAGAAACGTAGAAGATCCTACACGAAGAGGAACAGAAAAATGCACCGAAGATTGCATTAGGTTCAAATCTCCAACAAGGTAAATTCTGTTGAAGGACATGCGGAAGACAGAGCTCGCCTCTTCCTACGAAGGCAGCCGGCACTTTCCAAAAGCACCAGACACTCCCCTCAGTGAGCTCTGGATTCAGAAGTGGGGGCATGGACGGGACATGGACCCCATGCTATTGCTAGGCAGCAAATCTGTGCTGGGAGCTTGTCTGTTAGAAGGAAAAAAATCATTACCATCCTTATCAGAGCAATGAGTCCACATCCTACTGATGGAAATGGGGGCAAGTTTCTGGACACCTGTCCATGGGTCTATCCAGACAAGGGGAGTAGGGGAGCCTGCAACGCGGGCCCCGCTGGGGGAGATGAAGACAGTCTGTGTCATTATCAGAGTCCTTCTCCAGCAGGACCACGGCCTCTACACGACCGTTCCATGGCTCCGCCCATCTCCCCACCCCCACGTGCCCACTGCGGGCCGGGCGCTATCCCAGCAGCAGGACAGATAAAAGCCCTAAAGCCACAGAGCTCATGTGCAGGGGATCTCCATCAACAAGACGAGGGCTCTAAGGAAAAAGAGGCAGAACGGGGGGCAGTGTGTGTGGGGCGGCTGTTCTAGCCAGGGCGGGTGGTGGGGAGACCCTGTGGAGAGGCAGAGGCCGGAGCATAGGGAACCTCTCTGGGAACCCCCTGGCAACACCACTGCAAGAAGTGGGAGCCGCTCCCATGAAAGCCCTGCGGCATCCAGAAGGTGCTGGAAGCGTTCACAGAATGGCTAGAGGTCACGGTGGCTTCAATGGAGCTTGTGGGCTCGGTGACAGGGTCATGGAAGCAGCCAGAGGCCAGCACATGGGGGCCCTGGAAGGTCAGAGCATGCGCTCCAGGGGAGAAGAGGAACCCCTGGGGATGGGTTCTTCTGAGCAGAGGACTCACTTCCTGGTGCTCTTTTCTGGCTGCTGGGGACAAGAGTGAAGGCGGAGGGAAGGCTGTGGAAAGGGGGAAAGTCCTAAGCAAGGCCCCCACTGGCGGAGTCTGAAGGGGTCTAGGGCAGGCTGCCGCGGGATCAGCCGGGTCTGAGCGCTGTCAGCATGGGACAGGGGAGGGGAGAATCAGGGCCGCATCTGTGGGACCTCCCTCTCCTCATTCCCAGAAAACATCTCTTCCTCCATCCTTACTGAGACCGAGCCCCGCCCCCACAGCAATCCTTCTAGGTGGCCCCCCACTGAGTGTCTCTGAATCGTCTCAAATTTATCCCAGTGCCCAGTAAATTGATGAGCGTCCTCGTAATTCTCCAAGCAAGCCGGGCCTTCCTTCTCCCAAGCCCCGTCTGGACAAGGGCCCCGGATCCATCAAGCCAGAAGCCTGAGCCACACCCACCCCTCCCTTGTTCTCCGTCATCTCTTGCTCACGACCCCGTTCTTTGCAGCCCACCTCCTCACTGCGGCTTGGAAATGTATTTTCTCCTTCTCCTCCACGGTACGGCCTTACTTCACAGAACCTTCTTTTCTCACCTGGATTTTTGCAACCTGTCTAGCATCTCTCTCTGCTTCCTAGCTCCCCTAGGGCCAACCCATTCTCTACCTTGCTAGCAAAGTGGTATTTTTAAAAACACAAACTACATCTCATTATTTCCCTCTAAAACCTCACAAAGGCTTCCTACTGCCCTCAGAATCAAGTCCAAACTCCTCAGCATGGCTACCTTCCCACTTTCGTCTTTCCCCACAGTCCTGACCTACATAGCCCTTCAGAACCAGTCACATACATCCACCTGCCTTTCCACCTGACAGCCTCAGTATCCTTCAAGACGCGGTTCAGAGAAGGCTTCCTGCCCACCCCATGCTCCCAACAGGAGCTGATGAACCCTCTTGGGCTCTCCGTTACCACAGCACCTCCCTTGTACTCCAACATTTACGCTAGAGCTCCTTGAAGGAGAAAGGACAACCTCCTGCTGCCCCCAGCGCCGGCATGGTAATGGACACACGGAAGGTTCCTAATGCTCGTGGAGGAGGGAGGGAGGCACCGAGTCATCGGTAGTGAGCACCCGACCTGTGATGTGGTCTGTCTAGTTTTTCACTCCCCCTGCCCCCGAACCAAGGAAGTAAGGTTGGTTAGCTCAGCTGAATCACACATAAAACTCTTTCCATTTTTGAGTTTTTAATTACTAGGCAATGCCCTATGGACTGAGAACGGGAATTACAACGGATAGGGCAGGTATGAAGGCAGAGTGGCTTACCGACAGGGCACGGAGACCAGGAAGGCGGCCGGAGCAGCAGCGAGGGAGGTTAACGTTCCCTTGCTGGACAAAGCACATTCCAGCAAATCGGAGGGCGGCCGAGTGTGGAGGCAGCCCCTGGGGACTAACGGCAGGTGGTGCTACGTGTGAGTTCAGAGAGGTACAGTGTCCTTATTAAAGATAAATAACCACCACCACAACAAAAAAGATAACCTCTAGCTAACCCAAAATGTCTGCTAGTCAGAGCTTAGACAAGTGTCCACCAACACAGCCAAGCAGCACGAAGTTTTTCCAAGGGACCTCATTCACTAAGAAGTGAATAAACCAACAAATTAAGGCTGCCAGATCCAAATTTCCAGGTCTAGAAACATATTCCAAGAACACTTATTTATTCATATGGTTTTCTTAAAAACTGTGATTCTGGGGGCACCTGGGAGGCTCAGTCATTAAGCGTCTGCCTTTGGCTCAGGTCATGATCCTGAGGTCCTGGGATCGAGCCCCTGCTCAGCAGGGAGCCTGCTTCTCCCTCTCCCACTCCCCCTGCTTGTGTTCCCTCTCTCGCTGTGTCTCTCTCTGTCAAATGAACAAATAAAATCTTTTTTTTTTTAAAGAAGAACTGTGATTTTGTGTGTTAGGGGCAGGGGAGGGAAGGAGACCAACATGAGTGCTCTGGAGAATGAGGGAAGACTTTTTCCTCTTCTTTATCCTGAAGTCTGGTGCCATTTTGATCCTGCTTCCAAAAAGCATCTCGATTTTCTCAACTTTCTGTGTAATTACCAAAGGTGGGATACCACAGTAGTTCACTATATGGTAAGAAAGTAGCTCATTATACTGCAACGATGATTACTAAGGTTTTACTAGGTTCTGTTCTCCCTTCAAATTTCTTGTTTTTATTTTCAGGTTCGCATAGTTCTAATTCTCACCTGCTAATGGAACTGTTACACTTCAAAGCTATAGCAATAAACTCTTCTATTTTCTATTCATGAACTTACCATGAATGACTGAAATAGAAAGGGGATCTTGGAGAAACTAGATGTGGAGATTGTCACAGAATTCAGGTTGACAGAGCACTAAAGGAACAGCAGACCCACCACCAACACCTCCTTTCCTCGACTAGTAATCTAAAGTAAACTTGTTTCCCTTAAGAGCACAGAAGAAAAACAGAGTAGCACAAAGACACTTTGGGGGGTCATCAGGCCTGGATCCCACCCAGCGTCCCCGCCCCTCAGGATGTGTCAGCAAAGGGCGATTCACTCCCAGTAGAGGACTCCCTTTCTGGGAGCTTCTCTTTACTTGGGCATTTTTGCATATGTTGATTAGAAATCGACCAACAGGAACGCAGCAGAGGGAAACAAATGCCGGCCCTCGTGGGGGACAGACCCACGCGGCCCTCATGTGGGACAGACCCGGATATCCGGCCGGGCTTGACAGCCGACCTGCTGGAGATCCTGGCTCCCCATGGTTCTGCGCCGGCGAACCAGGGACGATCACAGCACTGCCTCTCCGCCCGGGCTTCGGAGGAGGAATGCACCCAGAGAGGGGAGCTCCCAGCAGCAAGTGGTTATGGGACAGTAAGCGCCTTATTACCTCCACCCTTTGGGGCTTTAGAGAACAAGGCTAATCCTCTGTCCACAGGGCAACCTCCGGGATCTTTGGAAACTGCCACCACGCTTCATGTGCTCATTGGTAAAGCGATCCGCTACCCCCTCTTTCCACAGTTCTTGTACGGCACCATGTCCATGGCTTACGGCCCCAACAGGCTTGCGCGGAGTGCTGCGGGTGAGTAAGATCTGGGTTCAAGTCGTAGCTTTTCCACTTCCCAGCTGTTGACCTCAGGCCAACCCCTCCATTGACAGAGCCCTTTCCATCCTCAGTTTAATCGGTATTTACACACACACACTCTCCATATTTAACACAACGCCCAGCACACATCAAGTTGCTTGCTCAGCAAACAGGAGTTCCCTCTTCCCTGTGAACTTTCCTGCACACCCCTCAGCTCTCCAGGGACTCTTGCCAAGGACACAGAACTGAATCACATTCCAGGGTTCGCTGAGCGTGACAGGATCTCACTGTTGCTCCGCACTGTGGTCAGCTCAGACGCTCGAAGCCAATTCGTACAACGGCGCTCGAGGGCGGGTGTGTAAGCATACCTGGGTCATTGGTTTTTAGCACTGGTGCCTGGTGACCACTACTTCCTTTTCCGAGCTCTCACAGACTGTCTGCGTAATGATCTCTTGGAGGAGTTCACTAGTGTGCGATCCCTGGACCCAGACTTTCCTCCTTCCTAAAAAGTGGCATGGAATGTCTCGTCCTGGCCACCTTTTCACATCTCATTCGTTAGGACCTCAGGACCCAAGTACCTGAGGCTCAGACACACTTTAAGAAGGGACACCTTTGTCCTCATGGTTTTTAAACGTTGTTTTGTAAGTCTCCTATGTTCTAGCATTTCTAGTTTGAAGATTGGATCGTGCTGCACTGAAGGAAGAAAAGGGAGGGAGGTAGAAAAATGGAACGGGCAGATGCAGAGAGAGGTTTGGCAGCTCCGGGCCTGTGCTCCCATCCCCTGTGCCGGTTCTCTCATCCTTAGCCCTTTCCTAGAGCCCACTGCACCCGGAAGCTCAGTCCATCGCAGCTGCTCCTCTGCGTTCATGTTTGCTTTTAAGTTCTGCCTGCCATTCTGTGTTCTTTTAAGGAAGCTGGTATAAAAATCTGGGAAGCCACCATGATTTTTCTCCGTGAGCTC